TGAAATATACACATTGGAAAGAGAATATAAAGAAGATAGAGAGATAGAGAGATAAAAAATGATGTATATCATGACTGGTTTTTCATTACTTCACATTTTCCAGTCATTTTTTGTACCTGTACTTGATTTGAAGACGAATTTTGTATATAGCATCATGTATAGTTACTCTGGTGAGTGGGTAGACTGGCCGCTGAGACCATGAATTTCACATTTGATTCCATTTGATCTGATCCCATACATTTCTTGGCATGAATCCCGCTGGGACTGGCTATCAAAAAAACAGGTAAAGTGACTATATATCAGATCTTAAAATGAAACCATGACTTGAAAAAAATGAGAAAGTGATCTCATTTGATCTCATTTAGTCTCATTCTTAGTATAAAGTTACTATTTTTAGACATTTTAAGGTTTTTTTTAGACTATTTTTAATTTTTTAAAAAGTAACACTTTTTGATAACACTCAAATGAGATTTAAAGTCATTTAAAGCAATAAAAATAATTTAAATTGAGAAGTGGAAATCATGGTTTCATTTGGAAAATGTGACAAGAGTAGACAGTAAGTCTCACTGAGACAGTATGGGACTACTATCTAATGTTAAAACCGTGTAATGGGATCAGTCGAATTGGTAATGAGACTATCAAAAAATCTGGTCCTGGTCCCAGACACGGTCACACGGTCAGTCTATGAGTGGGGATGTCAGGTCACGTGATCTGGCTTACTAATCCTTCCACCATATAACTTCCCACAAAGCTAGCAACCTTTCAATCACACAAGCTTTACACCTCCCACAAAATAAATATGAGATGTCGGAAGCAAAACTCTTCTTCTCCTCTCCCCACTTCCCCCACTCACACTCTGGACCTCAACTTCCCACATGGACCTACTCAGGAAAACACAGGAATTAAAACAAAATGAAAAATGAAAATATGAAAAAATGAAAAATGAAAAAAAGAAAAATTCATGAAGAGATAACAAATAAAATAAAGCGTGTGGTATATGTATAACAGGAGGCAGATACAAATGAGAAAAACCGCGCACATGGCGTTTGTACAGAAATGATTGGTCTGCGCCTGGCAAATTCCACCATTTCCCTCGGCTTCCAACTCCATCCAAACGCTCCAATCCTAAGCTCGTAAGATCAAAAAGAAAAACATAAGAGAGAAAAAAAAAAAAAAAAAAAAGGGAACAAAGCAAGGAAGTTTAAACACATTCATCCCGCCTTAACATGGCCGCTTTCCCTCCTCTTTACCTAGCAAGCTGTCCATTGCCCCGTAATCAAAGCTCACCATCCCTCACGCTGTTCAACTCAAACCACAGCAAAAAACAAAACAAACATGTGTAAAGTGGTGTCGTAAGGCGGACGTCGGAGGTATGAACATATACGAGGAGTTTGTTGTTAACGGTACCACCCGGTCAAAGCATAAACATAAAAATCAAAGGTAAATAAACCCGAGAACGCCTTCCCAAACCATGTTCGCTAAATCGACAATTGAGGAATTATAGTAAGGGAAAAAGTATATGAAAAGGGAAACAAGAAGAAACAAAAAAGAGCCTGTCCGATAAAAGGACGGTGTCGTTATGAGGAGGGAGATTGAACGAGGAGGGAGAAACAAAAACAATTGGGGGGAGAAGGTTAGCGCGACTAAAGCTGGACGAGTCGTATGTAATTAATGACTCTCGTGCTAGCGGCGGCCGCCGTCATTTCCTACAGCTGCATCGTAGCTAGGGATCGGAGGGCTTCTTGAGCCGCGTGGAGGAGGTGGATGTTGCTCGCCGTACTCACTGTGGGGCGGACTCTGTCGCGGGCTGGAGTATTCTGGAGGTGGAATAGCCGATGCCCTATCGGTGGGTTGCATCGTTGTTCCATCGTCCTGATCATCTGTTACGTTTGGCGCTCCACTGGACCCTTCGCCAACGTCTGCTGCGGCCGATACATGGGGAAGTTGGGCAAGAGAAATGTCCGTCGGAGATCGAACGGGACCGGGACTGGTGGGGTATGGCATCCTGATCGTGCCGCTGCGTGTCCGTGAATGGCCCGACTCATGCTGCCGCCATTGTGTGGACTGGTGGCCCTCGCGGCCCGTTTCCAGCAGAATACTACCTTGTTCACTCCCATAGGGAGGTGGGGGTGCTAGACTACCCGTCATTGGTGCGAGCCCCCATTTTTTGACGTTGGCCTCAATAAAAACAAATCCCATCTGTCCAAAGTTGACATGGACGGTGCAGGGTCCATTTGCTCCAACAGTAGGGAAGAAGTTCTGAGATTTTAGTCCTTGGGCGGCGTCGTCAAGCTTCTTCCCGTTGCGAGTGAAGAATATCGTTCCCGTGCGGGGCCGATAACCCACACCAATTACATCACCTTGGACATATTCGGGGCCGTAAGGAGCAGGATTGAAGGGTTGGTTATAGCGACGGTGTCCGGTGGATAAGTAGGCTACGGATGTTTTGTGGAAGCCTAGCAGACGAGATATGTTAGTCCGAATAATTGGCGTCACAACAGACGAAAATATAAACAAGTTCCATACCTGGTAATCGGAATAATGGGTATGGTTTTGTTGTCATGCCAATGCTTATAAGGCTGGTTTCGGGTTTATCATAGATCTTAGCTTCCCAATAATAAACTTCGTTTTGCTTGGGGACTGGTAAGTTGCTCTGGACGCTGCATTCTGAATCGAAAAATTCAATTTCAGTCCGAGCTTCCACAAAGCAATTAGCGATCTCTAGCTCCGGCTCAAATTCCCACGCAGAAACGCCTTTTTCTTGAATAGCTAAGAACTGTGAAAGGGAGATATCGGTTTGCATCGTCTCCGGTGGGTTTGCGTGAATGAAGGCTGTTTATTGTTTTCAAGCACATATTAGCCAATGAGAAGACCATGTGATGAAAGGATGAAGTGACATCTCCTCAAAGAAGTAGAGCCATACCTTTAGCCCTTAGGTATTCTGCCTGCTGAAGCTCATCCATCGTCTCCAGTGCCTCCGCCTCCTCCCTTGCAAACGCCTGCTCGTCGTCATATTCACCGGGTCTCCCGATCCGGTCGAGTATAATGCGACCCCGTTGGGTATATCTGAAAAAGAAGAAGATAGCAAGCACAATGATTGCAACACCCGCGGAACCAAAGGCAGAGAGAATCCCGATCAGGATGCCCTTGCCGGTAGAACCGATATTCCCGCCGAACCCATCCATGACATCTCCGTTCTGCTGCGGGAGCAGAGCGATACGGCGGTTTACAAAAGACTGAGCTAGCGTCGTGGCAGGCTGCCGTATATTTAGAGACGGCTCAGCAGACGGTTTGTGGACAGGTAGCGGAGACGGGGTGTTGGTGGGGAGGACGGACGTAGTGAGCGTTGACAGCGACAAGGTAACGCTCTCACGACTTGGCATCATTCATTGAGGAGCACTGAGGGGGCGGTCTAGTTGATAGGATATAGAGAAGAAAACAAGCACAACAGCCTCGAAATCTATAGAGAGGCCACGAATCAACTGGCTAGACAGCAGCAAAATCACGATGAGGAAGGTAGGTGAAAGCTGGAGAAAGGTGATGCTGAGTTGCAAGATTGGGGTTGAATGAAGATGCCCTGGATGCTTGACTTGAGACATGGCAAGCGACGTGCATTTCTCTCTGCTGCGGCGTGCTGGGGCAATTCTGGCAATTCTTGGGCCGGCGATTGCTCGGTGGCGGGGACGGAGTAGGCGCTGACTAAGTGGCGCTGACATCATTTCCTATATAGGCGCTGCTTAAAATAACAATCCCTTGATTCCAGGCCTGGAGTGGGTTGAGCTCCAAAGTTACTACTTGTCTGGGTGCTAGATGTTTCTTTTCATTGTCGAGTGGGTTCTAGATGCAATTGTCCTGAAGCAACTAACTTAACTAATTTACTAATTTATTAGTTAATTGTTATGTTAACAGCCATGCCCTGTACAGAGGAGCACTGTATCCAAATTCTACTTTGGCGTTAGTTTGCCCAACTTGATCGCCTCTGTATTCGGGGAGCTTGGGTCCTACGGCGTCAAATAAAGGAATTGGCGAAAACTCCTACGTGTAAAGTGTTTGAGCTTGCATTCTCTACTTGGAGAATCTGCCCTTGAACGTGTTTCAGGCGCATTGCTCAAACAAACCCCCAGATTCGTAACACAAATAGACTGTGCGCCTCTTTTTGTTTAACTATTACATATAGTTTACAGATTACTCCTCTTAAGATCTGGAGACCATGTGCAAAAATCTGCTGTGTTCATCTAATTATTTTCTTACTTCATTATTGTGAAGGAATAGGGCTATATTCTTTTTTTGGAATGTAGGTTAGTTTAGATGTCTGTCCTTGTTTCAGTTGCCGCTGGCTCAAGAAAATTCCCCACGAATCATTTATGAAATCTGGCATGCGTTTATCTCTCGAAATTCCGATTTTAAAGACTGTTGAGATATTCATTAGCCTGTCCTTGCTATAAGATTCTTACCGCCTGGTGAACAACTGGCGCCTCAGATCAACCACTTACTTTGCGAGGCGATTCATTGTTGTGAGAGGTTCTATAATTTCAACACATACAGCGGAAGGCGGGATATTGTTGGAAGTAAAGCGTCCTCAAAAAAAAAAACATATGTCACTGTATAGCTCTTCTGAGACACATATATTAGTGACCGCTTCATTTGCTCTAAGATGTCTTAAGATCTGTGGAGATACGATAAAGCCCTAGCAAAGCTGCAGTTTTGCTTGCACAATATATACCTTACTGTTGATTATTATGAAAACCTTTTTAGAATGAGTATTGATAGAGCAATTCATGTTGTTCAGACGTGCAAAGTCTTCTTTCTTGACATGCCTGGGAATCGCTGTATTGGTTCTCCGTAGTAGGGGCTATATGTAGTGCGGGGCGCTAGTCCGTACTAGGAAGCCTAGGGCTCCTGCTATCTTCTGAGCTTATTTTGACTTCTGCTCCGTCTCTTCCAAACCACACCCCCTATAACCACCGCAACGTCATATTATTAAATCCTAGGGAGAAAAGATGATCTCCGCCATAGAACCCAAAAATCTACTCCGGCCCCATAGCCAGCCCGTTGTTACGACCAGCACGTTACAGCCTGATGACGAATGCAACATCGAGCTCAGGATTGAAGACACAACCGTTGACAAGTATCCTGGTAAGTAACCGCGGGGTCATGTAACTTTAATGCATGTCGAATTGCATGTGGCATAGCGGGTGCATAACAGTGAAGCATATTGCTGCATATTTTGCTAATAAATAGACCGGATAATTTACAGCAAAACAACATGCACGAAGGGTTGCTGCTGAAATCCACAGGGACAGGGGGCTTGTTTATCTAATGGGCCAGAAATCTACATTATACGAAGACTCCGACCAGGAAAGGACGTTTCGACAACGGCGCTACTTTTTTTATATGTCGGGTGTAGATGAGCCAGATTGCGATCTCACTTATGATATAAACGCCGATAAATTGACTTTATATGTCCCCGACTTTGATTTGAAACGGACCATCTGGATGGGACCGACCCTTGGGCGAGAAGAAGCGTTACAAAGGTAAGCGGGAAAGTAATTTTCATTTCGAACATGGACCAGTATCATCGTGTTTATGTAAACAGAAATGGACTTACTCTCCGTATTATAGATTTGATATCGACGAGGTTAAATACCAATCCTCTCTGGATGAAGATGTTAAGCAATGGGCTCAGAACCAGGGCCGTGGCTCCACACTGTACCTTCTTCACGAATCACAAAAGCCTGCAGAGAAGGTTCCCAATGTCTTCATCGATAGCAAAACGCTCAAACATGCTATGGACACATCTCGAGCTATAAAAGATGAGCATGAGATTGGGCTCATCCGGCGTGCTAATGAAGTATCTGCGGCTGCTCATATAGATGTTCTCCGCGGAATAAGGAAAATGAGCAATGAGCGTGACATAGAGGCTAGTTTTTTGAATACGAGCGTTTCGCTAGGAGCGCATAAGCAGGCGTACCACATAATTGCCGCGTCTGGCTCGAATGCGGCTACGCTTCATTACTCGAAGAATAACGAACCCCTCAAGGGCCGCCAGTTTGTCTGTCTCGATGCTGGCGCTGAGTGGAACTGTTACGCAAGCGATGTGACGCGTACCTTCCCAATGACTAGTCAATGGCCAAGCGCTGAAGCCAAACATATATACAAATTGGTTGAGCATATGCAAGAAAGCTGCATCGTACGCGTCAAAGAGGGGGTCAGATATCTAGACCTTCACATCCTAGCGCACCGCAGTCTTATTCGAGGATTCCTTACCCTTGGTATATTTAAGGGCGGCACGCTTGAAGAGATCCAGAATTCTGGTGCATCCAACCTCTTTTTCCCCCATGGTCTTGGACATCATATTGGTCTTGAAGTGCACGATGTTTCGCCGGAATCCATAATGGCACAAGATAACGGTGATTATTCCGACAATGTGTTGATTTCACCTAACAACCTATCGCCGTGCACCACATCATCGCCGACTTTAAAATCCGGAATGGTAGTTACAATCGAGCCGGGGATCTACTTTTCTCAGATCGCTCTGGACAACGCGAAACCGGAACAACTCAAGTATGTCGATTTGGAGCTCGTCAAAACTTATATGCCGGTCGGAGGTGTGCGGATTGAAGACGACATTTTGGTGACAAAGACAGGTTATGAAAATTTGACGACGGCTCCAAAAGGAGATGGCATGTTAGAGATTATTCGACAGGGAGATGGCTCATGCAACATATAGCCTGACCGACATGATATGTTCCTTCAAATGTGCTTCGGTATTTAGTTTGAAGGAACCAATTGTTTTCCATAGCTTTGCTACAAATCAAACTGGTATAACACACGATTTTGACTTGACCATGAGACGCAGAGGTAGCGACGCTACCCCTGGATTACCCCTTATGCAGTCCTCCCCCCCCAATTTCCCCTCTTTTTTTTTCGAGTATGACGCCTTCCGGGAGCCGGGTTGCCGCTTCAGACTCCAGAGCTCAAACTCCTAAAAATGCCAAGCTACAGAATGCCAAGATACAGTCACATGAACACGCGCCACGCTGACCAATGACATCATCAATTTATCCTGTAGGCAAAATTGTGAACTTCCAGGTTTCATTTTCTGCCCAAAGTGGATATTCTAACTGATAGTTTAAAGCAAATTCCGCTATCAGGCCATGGTTCTTCTTCAAATTCCGACGGCGGACTCTGACAATGAAGACTATTTGGCATCTTGGAGAATAGGTCCACGGATAAAAAGCCGCTCTACCTAGGTAGTTTTGTTGGCATCACGCGATTTGTAACGTACCATGGGTGATTCAACGATTTGTGACTCATGCTTCGACAGCTGGGCATCTTGACATGCTTGTTTGCCCAAGCCCCCATAATTTTGACGTTTCCCAGTTTCTAATTCGTCCGAAAAAATTTATTTTCTATTTTTTTCTCTGCCCCTGTTCCTGATTCGTGGAGCTAAATATTTTTTTCTTTGGACATTCCCTTGCCCTAACTTCTTTAGGCACCCGTGCTCTGGCGAGTGACTCACTTGATAGGTTGGATGAGTCGAGATAAGATCCCTGGAGCTTCCTCTCCCTCTTCTATTTAAGCCTGGAGAAGTCTTGTTCTACATACGTCTACCTGCCATGATTGTTCCTTTCGCCAGTTCAGGCGTCTCTGGCGTTTTCTTTAACGACTGATATAATCTTCTCTCTCAACCTGAATCCATTGGATACACTTTGCCTCACTCCTATAATGGGCCAGAAACATAATAGACGACGTACAAGACCCCGCTCCCGCAATCGTTCAAATGCTCCTCTGAACCAAAATCCTCCACCCATCGTGGCCCTTGCCCATCAGTTACCTTGCGATCCTAGACGTTCACATACCCCTATATTTAGCCCATCCCCATATCCAGTACTGTCTTCTCAGCAACCACTGCTAGCCCAACAATGGCAGAATCAGTACGCTGCATGGCAGAACCGCGACTGTCGACAGATGCAGGAGGCCGCAAGGATGGAGGCTGATCAATTCCGTTTGTTTGGAGGCGAACCAGGAGATGATGTAGCCTTGTGTTATCGCATGCTAGAATACTTTGGTGGCCTCGATTATATTGATTCGTGAGCTTTAATGCTCACCTCTCTTCCTATCTGCACCCGTTCCACTCCGTTCCCTCCGGCAACGAACGATAAATTGTGAACAACCGGAGGCACTTTCTTATCTTTTTGCGTGGAGGAGAGTCTTATAGTACTCTATGATGGCTACAAACCCGCCCAAGGCCGGTGAATATTAAACAGACATGTTATCACTTGCCAACCTGGATATTCTAGCCGAGAAATCCACACGGAGAGCGTTTGGCTCGCAATCGCCAACCCTGCCCCACAACCCGGACACCATTCCTGATGTCCATCTTAATCAACACCAGAGCGTGGCATATTCGAAGCCAAGACTCGTAGCAATGACGGTATTCACCTCCCGCAGTAACCTCCCCTTGTCCATCGATTTTGGCAGTAGCCTTCGAGGACCGAGTGTGGATTCACGTTACTAGGTGGTACCCGATTGGTCAACAGCGGCTCGACCATTGATCTCTTGGTGGATTTTCGCATATACGAATCCTACGGAAACAAAGCTTCAAGGGCTAGTTCCAAACGACACTCGACGACCTTTCCCGCTGCTTAGCCGTAAAGGCAGGTGGTGCTCGCATCTAGACCGTCGCTAATCTCTATGGTATGGATAGTTGACATGGTTGAGCTCTCTGCTTAGTTGATTCTGGATTTAAAAAAACCGACACAGAAAGCAAGGGGAGAGCAGCGGATGTGCGTCATCGGGATTTCTGTGGAAGTGGGGAGTGGATGCGAAAATTGAAACGGAGGGGTGGATAGGGAAATGGCTGTTCTTCGTGAGAGCTTCCGATGAATATTGCTTTTATTCCCTGTTTTGGGGTGCTTGCTTGTGGCACTCGACGATTTGGCATTTGATGATGGCGTGCCTTTTTAATAGGATTTTTATATTTTATGTATAGCACACATTTTGGCGAAGGAGTTTCGGGGTTGTCCCGTGCTTGTAATTGTGCCTCATATGTTATCTGATCTGAATGAATGAATGTGACTTGCATCCACTGCGCTTCCGTTCCTCGAACCAATGTAGAGCTTTTACCAAACTAGCACCCCTATTATGTAGTCGAAAAAAAGCTCAACGGGTTGACAACGATAAAGTTGTGAAAGGAAATCTGGAAGCATGGTACTAGTCCCAAAGTAGACTAGTCGCCTGCCCGACTAAGCCTAGTTCGGCCGTCTGCCGTGAGGTTGGAAAGGACAGGTCTTCGGGATCGATCGAAAGTCTGCAGTGGACACATCGCAAGCACCTCATCCCCGACAACGGGCTTTCTGACACCTCTCTTTATAGTTTCTGTCCTTAATACATTTCCCTTCACCCCGCCCGGATACACCATGCGCATACTTCTCATCTCGTTTGTCCTCTGAGTCTTTGGCTGTTGGAGATACATTTTGATTTTTGATTTTTTTTCCCCTCTGCAGCACCGAGCTGGTCCCCCTTCACTACCCTTAACCCCGGTTGAAGAACTGCGGGACCCCATTCGCCTTAGTTTCACTTTACTACTGAGTCGCGAAAATGTCTTCGACGGAATATAACTACGATGAGCAGGTGAGTTACCATTTCCCGCGACACCGGGGGAGCTTGAACACGGCTAGATATGTCCCGGGTCTCATGGGTGGCAGCTGCGGATATGCTAACTTATTCACGCCCAGGGCCAATTCTTCCCCTTCTTCATCCTCACCTTGGCTTCACTCGTCACCCTTCCGCTCACATACACTCTCCTCAAGCCCAGCAATGGTGAGTTTCGAACAATATGTTCCGCTTCCGGTGCTGAAAACCGTCGTATCTGGTACTGGAAGGGATAGCTGACCTGCAGTCATGTAATTTATATATAGACCTGGAAAATACTGCTCCTCGGATAAAGTCCGACTTCCGTCCTCAGCATGGCGACATTATTCAGAAGCAAAAGCAGAAGCTTTTGCGGAAGGAGCGCCGGCTGAAGCGCATATTTACCGTGATAGGGGGATATGCTCTAATGGCGTGGATGGTCTATTTGATTATCGTCACTGCCAGGAGTACCCCAAAGATATGGGACCCTTATGAAATTCTGGGCATTTCGAGAGTAAGTTTGACCAACAAAAAATACCAGCTTGGGAAATTTTCTACCGTTTTTTTTTTTTTTTTTTTTTTTTTTTTTTTTTTTTGGTCGACCTTCAAATCTAACCGCTTTTATTTTCTTCTTTTCCTTGTAGAGCGCTAGCGAAAAAGCTATTTCCAGGCACTTTAAACGACTTTCCCGCCAGTTTCATCCAGACAAAATTAGACCGGATCCTGCCAAAAACCAAACTATCGAAAGCTTGAACAATCATTTCGTTGAGTTGACTAAGGCCTACAAGGCCCTGACTGACGAGGAAATCCGCAACAATTATATCCAATACGGACATCCAGATGGCAAGCAAAGCTTTAGCATTGGTATCGCCCTGCCCAAATTTATCGTTACGGAAGGAAATGGTAAATACGTCCTTTTGGTATATGGCCTGTTACTCGGCGTGCTCCTGCCCTACATTGTTGGTAAATGGTGGTATGGCACGCAGCGATATACGAAAGAAAAAGTCCTGGTTGCAAGCGCTGGCAATATTTTCCGAGAATACAAGGATGACCTAGTTGGCGGAGGAATAATCAACGCTCTTAGTTCCGGCGAAGAGTATAAGCAGATGCTTAGGGACGAAAAGGCGGAATCTGGACTTGCTAAAGTTGAAAAGAAAATTCTTTCTGATGAAGATTCAGCGGCGCCTGGGACAACTCTATCGGCCAAAGATCGAAAGGTGTTAGCCGATCTGGAAAGTGCCAGCAGAAGGAAAGCCCTGGCATTGCTTTGGGCATACTTGGGTAGAGTTGAGCTTGATGATCCCGTTCTGAACGAAGGTAGGTTTTGCCTCTTGTGATAGTTCTTTTTAATATGGAACGATTTTAATCTGTTTTGTTGTAGAGAAATTCGGCGTCGCCCCTACTGCTTTTACCCTCAACGACTCATTTTCATCTATTGCCCTTGCGTTCGGTAGCCTGCAACCAATCCTTGGATCATTTCACATGGCACAACATCTCATCCAAGCCATTCGGCCCGGTGGATCACCTCTTCTGCAATTGCCTTATTTTACCCCCCAGATCGTTCGGTCAATCGAAGGCGAGCATTCGAGGAGCCGCATGTCTATTTCGCAGTACATGGCACTTTCTGAGCAGCGCCGACGAAAGCTGTCAGTTGGTAAAGGCTTGCTATCAGAACAACAATACGCCAGCGCCGTGTCTGTTGCTCAGCAAATACCCGTCCTGGACGTTTCGAAATCATTTTTCAAAGTTGTCGGCGAAAGAGTGGTGACCCCTAGCAGTCTTGTTCAGCTCATCGTTAAGGCACGGTTTATTCCACCAGGTTCCACGAATATCCCAGAGGTCAACGAGCGTGACCTTGAGGACATTGACCCGGACGAGGATGACGTAGGCGCCAACAAGTCCTCGGCGATAAATGAAAATGGGAAAGAAGACTCAGAAAACCACATCCAACCGCCGCTTGCCCATGCTCCGTACTTTGCTCGCGATCACTCTCCAAGATGGTACATTTTCCTCGCGGATTCTATGCAAGGCAGAATGGCTGTCCCTCCGTTCACATTTACCACATTTGACAAACCCATTTTCGACAAGGATGGAAAGCCCACCTTCAATGTACAGACCTTGAAAATGCAATTCCAAGCTCCCCCCCAAGTTGGCAAATTCCTCTTTTCTCTCTACGTTGTCTGTGACAGCTATATCGGCTTCGACACTGTTAGTGAAATCACCCTTGAGGTTGAGGATCTTGCCAAGGCTGCCGCCCTAGAGGAGGAAGACGATATTTCTGAGCCTGACGAAGGTATGTCTCATGTTCATGTCCCCCTTTTCTCCAAAATGTAATATATGTATGATTATTGAGCTAACTCTGCGTCTCACCCACTTAGACTCCATTGCCGGCCAAATGCAAGCTCTGAAGACGGGCACTGCCCCTCCGAAGAGGAAGATAGCCAAGAAGCAAGCGGGCGACTCGAGTGAAGATGATGAAAGCAACACTGACGGCGATGCTGATGATACGAGCGAAACAGATACGGAAACAGACACGGACGGGGAATAAAAGGATTTTTAATTCAAACTGTGTGGATTTTACCTTTTTTCGTCCTACTTTTTACTATTTATTCACCATTATTATTGTCAAAATCGAAGTCAAGCATACTTGCTATCCTAGAGTTTTTTATATTTTCTTCTATTTTCACTCTTCACTTTATTCTTCGTCTCTCGGCTTTCTTTATTTCAACTTGAGATGCGCATGTTGTTTTTCCCGTTCACTCGCCATACAGAAGTGGATAAACAGGGGGTGGGCCAAGCATTGGCGCTAATTTAACTGAGCAACTCAACGTGATACCCAACTGCGAGCTCTTGCGTGGATTGCGATTGAGCTTTGTTACGGTAACAGCACCATATGATATGTTACGTGTTAACTACTCCATAACCACATGAGATTCCCTCGAAATTTATCTTCTGAAGCACACCTTTTGCATCGCGCAGCCCAAGCTAAACGGCTGGGCCCCGATATATCTCTCCTGTGGCTATAAAGTTTGCCAGCAATGAATGAAAAGAAAAGGCTTCAAAACTTCAAAGGTTGTTTAGGCGTTCGTTTAATGCGTCGTCCCGATGCCAGCCGCCATATTTTTCTAACACTATCTTCCTGATCGTCACTATCACCGAACATCCCCAGATGGCACACCTATTCATACCCACCTACCTCCCTGCGTCTGTAAGATCTGCGTGAGCCCTGAATGGTTAACCGCCTACATCGTACAGATGTATGGACAACTTGCTCGACCTAACTATCCACCAGGTAAACTAATATTGCCGGCTAATTACATGTATGCACATTTATGTGGCAAACGCCCTCGTAGCGTGGGAAACACGTTCCCGTTTCTAGGATAGTTCCTTGCAACCAGTGATATGTGGACTAAAGTGGCAAACATGTTCCCATTCACATATGAAGACTTCTATTGATTATCTAGCTATGAGGTGAGAGGCGGGGACCAGCTGTATCTCGTATTCAAGGAAGAGAAGCATGGCATTGAGGGTGCGTGCAGGGGTCTGAGAAATTTAGCACAATCTCGTGCATGTCACATTACGTCTAGTAACACATCACATTTCTCTATTTCAAACTTGGGATAGCGGAAATCGTCCAAAGGGGACTGAGATGGAGAAGAACTGCATTAGAAGCACAAGAAATCATGGACGCAGAAACCAAAAAGGAAGGCAAGTAGGTGCTTGGGAAACATGTATTTTGATTACGGCTAGTGGCGGATGCGACTATCTAACCTGTTCTAGAAAGGATGCACAGAGAGAGTATCAAAACAAGATGTGAGAAACGAACAGAGTAGCTGACCTATACTTGTCATGAACTTCTATCCTATTCCTTATCTCCCTTATCTCCATTTTCTTCAGCTTCTGGGATTTTGTAAGTTAATTTCGACATGCGAATATGTATGTACTGTATTTCTAAGTGTAGGGACTTCCCAATAAGGAGGAAAAAAGCTCCGTCAATGAAGAGGGCAGTTAATATTACTAATTAAGAGGTAAAGGAGTTATTAAAACGGTCAATATATATGTATAGATAGAGAGCGGAAGAGAGAGGGAGAGCGACATGGGGGCAGTGAACAGGTGGTATTAGGGGTTAAGATGTTTGCTAACAATTCCAAGGACCGGGCTGATGAAGGAAAAGCAGTGATTCGAGGAGAAAATGGTGGTCAGATCCTTTCCCAATTTGAACGTCCTTTGGGCTATGGACTACCTAGCTTCTTTAGCTAAATGCGCAAGGACATGGGCATGTTTCGGTCCATCCAGCGCAGGTTTGGTTTGGCCCTCTGAGTCGTCCGTTAAGACAGGGACTTTCGCGGCCATATCTTGCCTGCCAGCACAACCGTCAAGCCACTTCGCCTCGCTTTGACCTCAACAGGACTAGGGCCTTAATCTTGCCACCCGGCAGATACTGGATTGGGCATGAAGGGCTGAGGGCTGACAGAGATTGCACTTGTGGGGCTGGACGGAGAGACTGACGTGTCTTTGGCCATAAACTGCCTTGCGGGATTGTGATTGTCCTTACCAAGTTTGGCAAGGGCAAGAAACATCAGGCGGCTCAGGCTAACGTGGGCTCGATTGGCGGGTTCGTTTGTCACTGACAACGCTTGTAACCACCTGAGGACACATGTCGACTCTTTGATCAAATTTTCGGTTTCGTTGGGCAAATGGGACACATCCATTGACAATTCCATTACCAGAACCGTACCAGCTTGAACTATGTAATGCAGTACACACCACCACGGAGTGGCGAGGTACAGTTTGGCTGGTTGGATGTCTTGAGGAAGGAGGTCGATTATATTCCGGGCTGCAGACAAACAACTGATAGCGGCATCTTCGTCCATTCTTTTCGAAGTTGCGGACTGGGACGGGATTGCGTCACGTAATTGTTGAGCCTCACAAAAACATGGGCGGTTGATGAGAATGCACGCTCCATAGAAGCGGAGGTTCAGATACATGCGTTGATCCAGGGGTGGAAGTCCTTTAGAAGCTGGCGAAAGGTCCAGAATTCTGTGGGGAAGATCGTCCCTCCATTGGGCGAGCTTCTTGTCTAAATCTAAAACTAAGTTCTGCACGCCAGCCCAAGTTCGGTTTACTGTGCTAGGGCTATACAGCTCTTCCAAAGCCTCGGCGATAATTAAATCAAGGCGAAGACACCGGACGAAGATGGTCCATGGCGGAATAGCGGAGCTGGTCACTGGGGTAGTGTTAGAAGGTGGATACATTGCTGCCATTGCTGCTCGCGAGGCATTGTATGCAAGGGGCCCTGTGGATGGAAAATCCATTGGTCGGGGTAAACGGGCACTAGTAAAACGATCCTGAAGTGATGAAGGCCGCCCCGTGAGGACGCAGAGAAAACGTTCCATTGAGCTGATGGAATGCCAAACTCTTAATTCGAATTCTCGTTCACCCTCCGAAAGTTCAGTACTCGTGTTGACCAAATGAAGAGCCCGTGTCTGCGCAAAACGCACCGCCAGGCCGATTACATTCCAAGCTCTGATTAAACCTTGTTAGTTAACTGTCACCACGGACTAGGTGCGTATCATGTTACCTGTTAATGTGATGGCTCGTAAGATAATACAATCCACTGATTGCGGCCAACTGCAGCTCTTCCATAGATGGAATATCCCCAAGATGAGTCGAACTCCGGCCTAATGCACCAGAACGGAATGCGTACATAACATGATCATTTTCAACGACGCTGCACGGAACTTGTATACGAAGCGCGTGAAGTGCACCAATGGCGAAAACGACATGCAAGATATTGCGCCAGACATGACTGGGATAGATGGCTGTTTGGTAATAAATTTCATAATGTACTCTGAACTCCTCCTCTGAAAGTATTGGGAACATTGGGTGGACAGTTAGGAAATATGAATTAAGAAATATGTCAGCCATTTCTTTTTGAAGGGGTTCAGACTGGTTGTCGATTTTTTTGAACATTTTTGGCGGGCTGTTTCCAGTTTTCCTGACTACTAGAAATTTCTCTAAGTACTCATCATCGAGAAAGTAAGTGCATTCTTTAAGTACGCATTTGTAAAGTTCATCGAAACTTGCGAAGATGCGCTCTCCGTTCAAAATATCTTCCGCTAAAAATCCATAAAATTAGAAAGAAGTCAGAAACTCAGCCGGGAGAGAAACTTAACACGTTGGCCCGAAATATTTCAATAGTTTTGTCGCCAGTTCTTCAATCCATCTCGTGACAGAAGATTTTCCAAGGAATCCTGTGGTTATCACAAAACCCGCAGAGTCTGGTTGGATGCGATCTTGGAATCGTGGAGAACCAGCACCGGCGGACGCTGCATATTCATCTTCATCTCCTGAGCCTGTAGCTTCGATTGGAGTCGAATTATCATCTTCCGCAAGATTTCGACACTGCGATTGGTTAGCGAGTCCCCCGCGATACGCTACAACCCGGAACAAATGATCAATCGACTGGTATCCCTCATGGAGAAAATCTCTCTGATTTACCTCTAGTAGTGTGGTCCGGACTGTTAATTGCATTTCAGGCTTCAGGTGTGGAAGGATGTCATAGAGGAGCTTCTCATACACAGTCACCTTCGCAGCATTGCTTTTGGTGTATCTACCACACACTGGCTTAGTTTAGGAAAAGAAATCAAGGAAAGCATAAGAACGAGGAAAATTATTGGAATTGGAAAGACGGAAGTTGTGGTCCAAATTGTATAAGCTTTTGTGAAGCGTCGCACAAAATTCAAAGAGGCTTGGATTCCCAGCGGCATCAGGACTGACCGTTTCATTTTTTCCCGTTTGCCATCCAAATAAGCGCAGGCTATCTCTTGGTCTCTGCAACGTGAACAGACGGGTCGAAGACCATCGCATTTTGATTTCCGTTTGCGACATGGATCACAAGCATGGCTCACTCTGTGCCTTTCGCTAGCAGGTGATGGCTGATTCTGACCTGGCCGCCGAAGCCTAGGTATTGCAATCTTTGAATCAGCTCGGGTAGGAGAAGAAGAGGACATGGTGCGGTTCGCCGTTTCAGTTGGTTCAATGAAAGTATTTGGAAAATTTGAATAATTGGGCAAGTTGAGGATGTTTAGGGGATAATTCTGCGGTTGACCTTGCGCTCGGAGGATTTTATGTGCTGACTGATCCATTATGTATTGGGGTAGGATATAATCAAAAGTAACCAGCGGTTCTGGCGGTACTGTTCCCTGTAAATTAGAATGACGGGACTAAGTGTAAGTTCTCACACAATGAGAGTAATAAGTAATATCCTCATTGATAAATGAATGGTCGGGAGAGAGGTGTAAGTTACTATGAGGTAGTAGTAGTTCTAGCTCCTTTAAGACCATGTACCCATACTCGGACCCCTTTCTATATTCACACTTGTTACATTAGCAAACCCGTCAAAGCCTGGACGAGTGGGGACGAGTTGGCATCCATATGACATGGAGAACTGCATGCCAGGGATTCCAAGCGATCGTAAGGCCGCCTTGCGTTGAGCTTGGATGGTCAAGAAAAGATTTGGTAGGGCAAACTAATATTTAACGCATTCAAAGTAGCGTATGCAGATGGTAACCCGCTAGGGATCGCTTGCTTACCCAATAGGGAAACAATTCTCTCCTGCGTTGAAGTCCTTCGGCGAGGCGAGCAAATCCAGGGTTCGATCCAAGCCCATACAATTGGGAGTCCAGACACACCGTCGTTCACGAAAGGGCTAGAAGGTCTTCCGGGACAGAGCAGAACTAAAAATAAAATGCGACTTTAGCTGTCACATCACCGCGCGTGCAGATGACAACGGATACATCTGCTACGAGTGCACTGACCCCTTTGCTATTATCGACCTCGACGTGATGCTGATATATTGACCCAATCAAACACACATATATGTTATCCTGACCTTAGATTTTCTAATGCATTGGCCTATTGAATGAAATTGTGTAAAGGAATGCATACTTGGCATAGGCTGACGTACCCTTGAACCGATGGAGCTGAGCAAGCAGTAAAGGAGCTAACGCTAACCAGTTCAAACCAGATGCTTGCTTCTGAGCCGAAGGTAGACTATCCCAATACCGAAAGTGTGTGCAGGATTCTGGTTAACACGAGATGTACCATCACCATACCTTTAATGAGAGTAAAATAAAACTTCAGGCATGGCTGCATCAGGTGGAAGGCCCACAAACCCAAAATCGACATGTGTCATACCGTACGTCATTTTAACCGACCTTTATGTAAAAGAGGGCTTGACTATGAAAGCATCAAGGCGCTCAGTGTAGCCGATATTCTGAAAACGAGGGACTTAACATTAACGTAGAGGTGCTCGTCCAGCATTAGAACAATGCTAGCATCAGGCAGAAAAATGGCTTTGACTCGATATAATAAAACCCTAAATATCGGAGAGTGTATTTAGATATATGCAGCAGCACGAAATGTGATACATGTTAGCACTGTCAATTTAGGTATAAAGAAAACAAAAATTTCTACTCACAAAATCTCTCCTAGAAAATGTCGCAATGTCCGGATACTCTATCTATGACGCAGCTCCTCGGGATACTAGAAAAATAGAAACTCGCCCTTGGCATTGTATAGAATTAAATGACACGAACACCATAGAAAAAGCATTGACGATTCAGCCAGTGCTATCAAAAAAATGACGACATGGGACGTTCACACAACTGGAGAACTTTGAATGACCCGACACCCTGGCTAAAATTCGTCTCTAAGTGTCGGTAGCCGTAGTGGATGTTGCCCAGATAGCCAAATGGGTTTTGCTTGGGATGAGCCCCGTGCATTGAACAGCGTCTACTCACCTAAGTTAGAAGATCCTGGCCTTCATCCGATAATTGAAGGCTTCGGCGGAGCTGGAGACATTTCGGCTACCAAAATATTTTCAGGAATTTAAAATATCAGAATTCTGTCAGCTTTCATCAGCGAGCTGCAATGGAGGGGCTTTCTTTACCAGCTTCTTCAGTAATACCTTTGAAAGTAACCATTGATTGACTTTTCGAGGAGGGTAGTGAAATATCAGAAAGTCTTGGGTGACAAGAATCCAAAAAAAAAAAAAAAAACATGGTCAAGGATTTGTTGTGAATAAGGGTTCGCCTTTATTATTTGATTGAACCGCACACTGATCCTTGAAGTTATGAAGTAAATCAAATCCCGAATTAATGGGTCGCACGAAGAATGCCAGAGAGAGGTCACCTCATTCCAGCCTGGTTTTGTCAGGGCAGCTGCTGAAGTGTATTCAAGCAAAATTAGCATGGAAGTAGTCGTGTTGGCTAGTAATAATATTATCACACCATTGGCTGAGGGTGTGGATTATTGGTGAGGGAACGGAGCCTGTCCAGAGGCGCAATACTTGAAAAAATCGATCCGCGCTGTGTCGGATTTGAAGGTTCTGCATCTCCTTGACATCTGTAAAGTAAGTGTACCATACAATGTACACGCATGCACAATACTTTCATATGCTGCCAAACAGGAATGCAGAGTGAAAGTGCTGTTGTTTCCCTTGTATGGTCTTCCTTCCAAGGCTAGGTAGTACCGCGATCGCACGCGATCATATTCCTTAAAGAAACGTATTTCGAGCGGCATCATTGGTGCAGTCGGGGAATCAGCAAGCCCTTGAATGGCATTAGCTATTATATAGAAAGTGCCAGCAGCTTATGAGACTTCAATTAGCCAGGGGTAGTAGTTATGTAGTGAGGTGGTTATGGATGCGGTGGACCAAGACTGCTCGGGAAAACATTCTTCCCCACCGCACCACGACTGTGCGGCTCTGTCGAACTCTGTCCCCCTTAACTACATCGTAGAACCACAAACCTCGACAAATAATAGGGAACCTTCGGTCAATGATAGACCATTTAAATAGTTTTTTATTTTCCTGTTTCTGTTTCTGCTTGAAGCTAAGCTTAAAGAAGTACATTCTTCCAGACTTTATTTTTTTTACCTTGACTACCGACCCACAATCGTGCGGCAACGTCGATATATAGGGCGATATCAACCCAAAAGTGGAGATAGGGCAAAAACAAATGTATATATATTATATATATTTGTTAATGCCCAAGCCAGAGATCAATTAATTATTGGTAAGCTGTAGGATGGGAACTGAATGAAATGCTCATTAGCCCTATCCCTGACTCAACTCTCCCGAAAACTGCAATATTTCATATGGATTCGAACTTGACTGCGAGGCCGTTTGACACCTGCACTGCGCCGCGCTACATCACCTCGCACCAGGGTAAGCTATGCTCGACCAGGACCAGTTTTATAATAAGTGCTGTCGTTAGTGATGATTCGCCTCCGCCCAAAATACGTTGCACCCCATTCCAGCATCTTCGAATACGACTTCCAAACCTCCGCCCTGCATACTCCTTTCCAAATTGCTTAGGCCAGCAAGAGTATTATCAAAAATGCCCCTGTCTCGCCCCATGTGATTCTGTATGTCCTTCTGGGACGGTGGCCACACGAATGCGGTGCACGTATGTTCCATTTGCTGCTCCGGAGACACTGGTACCCATTGGGCCGGTAGAACAGTCTCCAGAATCTCGTCCGCAAGTCCGTTGCCCAATTGGCTTTCTATCTTAATTTCAGCCGATTCTAGACTTCTTTCAGTGTCCTGAGGCGAGCTAGTAGCGTTGTGGGATGCCTTCGCTTCGGAATTTCTGGCTATTGAACTATGTGTCAGTATCCCATCATATAAAAACCACCATCAAGGGGAGCTAGCTACCTTTCTTCCTCGCACTTTTCTTCGCTTTCCATTCGTCTAGATATCTGACATGGCTCCGGTAATTTTCTGACTTTTCATACTCCGCAAGAGCAAGCTTGTATTCTTGTCGTGCGCGGATGGCACGCGCTTGAGCGATCTTCTTTTCGCCTTCGGGCAATTCTCTCCAAAGCCTCCCAATTTCGATTGCCATCTGAGGAAATGATAAACCTTTGTACTGGAGGTCTGCTCGTTTTTCTATGGACATTCTTCTTTGAGCATCATTCTGAAATTATTATGATTTTTTGTCAAACATACCGTTAGCAAAGATGGCATAGGCTGTCAACGGTTTTCTGGGGGCGTTCGGGTCAGGCTGTGGGTGTATGGCTTTAATTAGACACCTTATATATTTTCTCGGGTGTGGTACAGTCTAACTTGTTAACCAGCACGCTCTGAGTCAAGGATCCGAACCTTAGGATGCCACTGATATCGTCTCTTCTTTCTGGAATAGTTTCCGAATTCGCCGTGTTGTGCCTGCCGATTGGGGACATCTTTCTTTTCCTTTGCAACTCGCTGCTGTAGTCTCTACATCACAAGTGAGCATGATGAGAGCACACTGTGGCTGACGAAAACATACCCTTCGATGGCCCAATTTGACACCCAACACTTCTCTTCTCACATCAGCACTCTGTACATCAACAGAAGGAGTTAAAATCATACAAATCAACTTCAGTGATTTCCAAAACGTCTTCCCATGTTTCGAAGCCATTGCCAATAAACCCTGGTAAATACTGGGTCATCCCCAGCTCCTCAAATACCATATTGAGGACTTCCATATCAATCTGCAGAAAGGCGTGACTGTGGAGCAGCAGCAGAAACAAACGATCACCCCGGAGGCCTGATAGATGCCTGATCGTAAACTAACAAAATAGCATCTTGTTTTCAGTCGCCGAATTTCCACAACATATCCGTTTTGAAGTTCTTGAATGACCATACTGTCGGGTCAGCACTCCTCAAATACAGCGCATCAGCATGTTGACAGCCTAAGCCACCGGCGACGGACGCACCAAGTTTCACCCCCACCTTAAGAATGCGCCACTCATCTCGAGGGAGAGCTTGCAAAATGATGGAATGGCCTGCATACTATGTCTCGTCAAATCAGGAAATCCAACATTCTTTTCGTATTCGCTGAGAGCACTAGGCCCGTTTTCTAACCGTGTCAAAGGATCCGTGCGACCTCCTAGCGCCTGGCCCCAGCTTCAACCCCTCCCTCCTTTATATCTCCCCTGGTTTTAGCTTCACGACAATCCTTCCAGAGCACCGAATCGGGGTTGGCCCGCGTGACAACGGCCTTTTCCGCTGATAGGGCCAGGAAGACCAAATCATATTTGGGTGATTAGCAAGACTTTGCGAGGCATCATTTGCAGATCCGACTCCTCCCAATAACATTATGCAAACTGGCAAATTACTCTATGGCGGCCTAATACGGAAGTGGACAAGTTGATGACATAATGCGCGATTTAAAATATCAAATCCTACGTGCTACTACGGCAACACAGATTCTGCGTGCTCCTAAAATCCAGGTTTTCCGGGCTTCGGGCTTCTTCACGGCCAATTGCTGTCTAAGAGGACAAGATAGGTTGAATCAACTAGGAGATTGGAGGTTGTCATCTAGCATGGACTGGAGACCGTGGACGAGTGATATATATATTAATTCTTCAGCGCCTGGTTATGACCGACTCGACTACATCATTGTATTGTGGACCCCAACGATAATTCAAGGTCGAAAGTTTCGTATTTCCAAACTATGGAATAAAGGGGGAAAAAAGCGTCTCAAATTTCATCTGTTTTTGCACAAGTGGCCTGTCACAACTGCTGGCAGCCTTGGACTTGTATGGTGTTCATATACCCCATTTTCGTCTATTTAACTTGTGCTCCCTTTTCAAACCCCCTTCCAAGCGCAAACTGTCACAAATTCGACAGGACGCCGACGCTATGGTTGCCCCGCATTATTGAATATCGGGCCATGAAGTTCACATGAACGATTTCTTGAGTGTGGGAGTCCCAAGCAAGTTTTCATCTACTCCGGCCCCTTGAGCGCTGCCACATATTAGGTTGGGACAGAGGTTCGGCCGTTGGGATTGTGTGGTTTGCCATTGACGACTGGAGGTGAGCATCAGACTCTGATTCGTGAAAGCAGTCAACATTTTCTAGATGGGCTTAAGTGATTCCGGTGCGTTCCTAACAGTATGATAGGATGGCGGGCTCTCAGCTACGCTGGAAAGTGATTTCTCTTCATTCAAATGCCGAATTTGGCGGAAGGCAATAAATTATATTTTAGCACACTAGAATTTATAAAATTGTGTTTATTAGCCATTGCGTGGTCCTTAGATGATTTCTGGTTTAACAGTGACGATTTGTTAGCGCCCGCGGATCGTTCATAATCGTCCAATATTTAAGCACGTTAGTGTTCACCCTTATTGTCCTGGTTTGAACTCTTTTGGTGAATATATCTATGAAATGTTTCCCTAGCTAATCGCTTTACCCCAGGTTGCATGATCTCCTTGAGAAAGCGACTTATTACAAAGGCTTGCCGACTCTTGCAAGGAGGGAAGGCATCATCTCAGGTTTTATCGCCATTCGTCTCAGGCAAACATGGACAGTCATAAAATGTGGTAATGGAATAGAATGCTCTCTTGTGTCCTCCATCGCGACTATACCATGAAACGCGTAGATTTTTTAAGTCCGAACACCAAAGGTGGCAGAACATTGCGTGTCGTAGCCCGGAGGTTTTTTTTAACTAGGATCAACCAACTCCTCCTGCAGAACAGAAAAATGATTCAATGCTAGCCTTCGGTCAAATCCGGTAAATAGCTGTGTCTGTGAGACCAAATGTCTGGAAACGGCACCTCATGAGAAGAAGGTCTTCCTTTCCCCGCAGCCGTGTATGAAATCTCCAGAACTTCGAATAACTTGCAAAATTTGTTTCACTAACCCTAAAGCAGGCCAATATCGCGAATGGCTGGGCGTCTTTCGAAGCTAGTGCCTAAGGAAAACCCCGGATTCTTGTATTGAAGTGGGCTTGGGCACAAACTGTACGTTGATTAATCCAATATCCCGATTTGGTAGGACATGATCAGATGGATTCCATGGTTCTGAGGCGGATGGAGCACCAATGAAAATAGGAATAATGCTTTAACCCCACGAACATAAGTTCTGCAGCTTAATTTTATTTTGCGACTAACGAGTGAGGCTGAGAAAAGTTTTGTGCTGTGGGAAATGTTCTGAAATCAGTCGTTATGCCTCCCAAGGGGAACGGAACTCATGCGCATCCGGATATGATATGTGCACCGTATTTCCGAAGCAAGACTCAATGTTGAGCATTCTACGGTTCTCCTCGAGTAATGCTGTCGTATATTTGAACGGGTAGTTTGTGGACGCCTCATTGCTAGCATTAATTCTCATGGCTGATATAAAAGTTCCGAGGATAGGTGGTCAGAATGCTGATGGCAGGGTTACACAAGTTGGGAATAAATTCCCGATTCTATAGCCTCCCCGAATACTGATCATCGTCGTTTCCGCAGTTCAGCTCGACAGAGCTTGATCAAGCGTGAGCTCTTTCTTAGCCCTGTCCGCTTGGGCCTGTTCTTCCGAAGCATTATTTATCGTCGATCGCGGCTAGATGCGGTCCGAAACTCCTGACATGAAGAGTTGTCTATTTCTTTGGAGTCACGCTGCGAAGCATGTTCAAGGATTGAACCGATGTTTGAACATCGCGTAGGTTGGTAGAGCGCCCAGGTGGAAGAGAAAGAGAGTAATTACCTAGCAATATTGTGTGCCAGCACCACTTAGCCATTGTTGGATTAGGTCCACACGTGCGAACGATGACGTGCAGATATTGTGAATTATGTGCACTAACATCAGCACCGTCACTTTTTCTGAAGCAGCCGAAATGGGCTTTCTGCCAGATTCTCCTCCGAATAAAACAAAGAGTTGAAGGAGAGAAAATCGAGGAATAGAAGGGGTGTACACCCAAAAAGGGATAAGAAGGAGAATATAACATTGGAGAAAAAGAAGAGCAAGCCTGTAGAGGCAGAATTGGACCACTCTCAATAATGACGTCATCCAGCTGCGCCGCAACTGTACCTGGTTACGAGACAACCCCTCGTGGTGCAGATTGGCAAGCCACTGGACTTTATTAAGAAGTGTCTTCCTTTGGCTGATGTTCGGACCATAGAGTCTATCCATACTTCTTGTCTGTTATCAATTGCAGCCATTCCAATCCATCTGGTCTTCAAATTGTGTAGCCTTAGAACATCAACTAGTTCCGGGCACGTTTTCTCACCCACACGCATATTTATCCCTCTCCAGGAGATGGATAAAGGACAATGACCTGAGGCATATTGACCTGTCCTGAAGGCCTAAATTGTTTTTTAAAGGTGGCCCTGACTTCCCAGTTGTGTATTTGGCTGCAGAGCGTGTTGCTGGGGAAGGCCCGTCGATCCCTGACATCGCCATCATTGTATGATGATATTTCGAATACTCTTAAGACATTCCCATTGGCGGGACAGGTCAACAACCGGCAGAGGCCGCCAGCCCTTTAGGGAAACGACGGCTATCCATCCCGTGGTAGTGATATCGATTAAAAGGGGCTGTTTTCGCGGATCATCTACGATATGCAGACTGTTGTTAAGTAACCATTGAAACATCAGTCACTAGGGAAATATCATGTTTCGAGTACGAAAAGAAATCACCTTTTAAGCTCTGCTAACTAGTATCTAAAATTTTTCCTGCGCAGGGCTCCCGTTGTTCGAGAGGGATCGCTAACTTGTCACATGATCTCGCTGATTAACAAGGTTAACTCAGCTATTTGAAAACATCCCAGCTAACAACAATCAGCAAACGTCCGTTGAACTCGGGATTCCCACGCCAACATATGGGAACCGTTTGAGGCTGTTTATAGCCATGTAAACAAAATTTACGTTCTAACCTCCCAGTGCATCTGTCGGAGCCGAGACATTGGCCTGTTGAGTCAAGACAATGGAGTGATCATCTGCCTTATGTGAACGGTGCTAGGTAGGTCATGTAAGTTCTTTCTTCGAGCATATGACCAGGCCATAGCAGCTAAAGCGTGACTACCTCTATTTCCTCATATATCCACCCTTGTTCTATGACCCTCATGGCTAGCTCCGATGTGGAGATTTAGAGACAACCCTAAACGGACTCCTTTAAGATAGGGTCAGCTACTATGTCCAAAAGGCGAAGAATACCAGAGAAAAACCAAAATTTCGTCGAGCTACATTATTTGCTACAATTTTACGTATATTCCCTCCTCCGTTCATTTTCTCGGCCATATCCAGTCGCACCAAGTGCTTGTTTTATCTCCATAATCATGAAGCCTCTTTCTCTCTATGCTGGTTTTCCTCACTGGGATCGTCTTCGCGGCGGCGCAGGACCCGACACCAACTTATAAAAGCGATCTTAGCCACCTCCAAGAGCAGATGTAAGGAATCAAGGCTTCAGATTCTAAGTATGTTTTCAGGTGTAACTAACATAAAACTGCAGCAAATCGTTGGAACATGTGATACCAACTGGCAGAGCAGGAAGCATGACAGCACCAGCAAGAATTGAATGGCCACCAATATTGGCAAAGCTCGATGACCCGCCAGAATCGCTCATTCAAATATTTGCTACCGCTATCCCACAAACTGCCTGTCGATGTCTACTAGATCGAGAAGGCCGCAGCTCTATTTCCAGTGAAATGAAAGCCAGTAACACCCCGGACTGGTTTAATAACCTACCCTCATCCGTTTAAAAGTTACATATCCCATATCCAAGTCCAGGCAACAGCGACAAATATGCCAGTAAACAGCAAAGGACGATCGACTTCTACCTCTAGTGCTCTAGCTACGAAACAAACCGGGGTTGTTGCTGGAGGCCTAGTACTTACTGCCGATATATTGGGCCTTGCTGTTGCGTTCTGAGGTATAAACATTACAATCATGTTATGATAATATGGGATAAGTGAAAATGTCGCTTAGTTGATGATATACATGGTTGTTCAGCGAGATCTCTAGATTTACTCATCATAGATAAGATTGGGACTGGTCGGATTGGCAAACGGTGCTTGGAAAGCAAGCGGCTAATGTTCTTGACAAGTTTCATTGTTTGGGTGCAGCGTACCCACGTCGGGGTGTATCTCATCAACTTTACATTTTGTGACGACTCCAATTCTTCAGACTTCGAAGGTGGATAGATTTGCCAATTTTTTAGCTGTTATTTTACCTTGATCCCCAACAACATGGTGATTGCCATTTGAAAGTAACCAATTGAATCCATGCGCTTGATGTGAGTTATCCCACTAACAGTGTTTCAAGCAGGAATCATTCTAGCACTATATCTATCTCAAAATACGAATTATGTATGCAAGTTGGCATACCAAAAAACTTTGTTTCGCGGAGATTTCCTGAGGATATAGCCCTTGCAGACAATGCTGCAGACAATGCGGGAGGTCAAAACAAAGTTCATTGCCCTATCGCCCCACATGTCTCCACTCTCCCGAATGCACGAAGTTGCGGGGAAGGCCAGAAATAAACTTCAGGAACCACAGCAAGCTTAAATCTATGGGTAGGGGCGATGGGGACAAAACAATCAAGTTTTCTGTGAGTGACAGTTTAATACTAGGTCCAAGCTGCTATCCGAGGTGCCCGCCGAGGTTGATTTGTGAGCCTCCACTTAACTGCCCTCTACTACGATATGCTTCTTATCCCATCATTGAGACCCTTGGGGAAAATATCAATGATCCTGGAAGTTTAGCTCAGCCCTCACTAACTGTGTCCCGATTCCTGTTTGTTGCAAATCCAACCCGCAGGATCAACATCTAGGGCTATCCAATTTGATTGGCGGGCTTCTTGCTCAGGTTCACATGAAAGTTCCATCCTCGGCAAGCTACCAGCTAGCTGGGTAAACACATCAGTCCTGGTCTATGCTTGACAAAATGGCAGCGTGCCCTTAGAATTCTCTTTTTGATGGAGCCAATTTCTAGCGCCGTATTTGACCCTTTCCCCATCGAGAGTGGGGATAGCCTGTTTTTACCCCAGAATACTATTTTTCACCCATATTTCCAGGCAATACTGTACCGTCGTCGGGGGTGGGGTAGGGCTTCGAAAATTGTTTACTTTGATCACCACAACTCAGTCTATTGCACACAGTGTGCACATAAGACTTCTATCAAATGTTGCTTTCTTTTCACCATGGTGGGGAGCCGAGCGTTTTACAGCTCTAGAGAGGGAGCAGCAGGGATTTTTTGTGGCATCCAGAGGGCGGTAAGTTGGAAAATAACAAATTCTTATTGAATGAGTACATCAATATAATCCAAAGTTTCCTGACATTTTTTATTAAACACTTTTTTCAAGCTCATTAGAAATCAGGTCCACCTTTGCCACTCAGGGAGAATAACCCTCCAGTTAGCTTAGTTTGGATCCTCAGAGCTTCGCAATGTTATGCATTGAGTGATATCCAATGAGAAACATCATGTTGATTAGGGTGGGTGTCAGGTTTTGTTTAAATATATCAATGCTAGCCTCCGGGCTCACCCTTCTCCCTCAGATTTCAAGCTACACTTCAAAACCTTCCAAGCTTCCCCAACCCCACGCTCCGCCCATGGCATAGCTTGATATGGAGTTTTGCGGATGAGAGCTCTAGGTGTAGAGTCTAGAAAGTTCACCCACCCCAACTTCTGTTACATTATGATCAATCGCTTCACATGCTACTCATTGCCCATACTAGTATGTCTCCCTTGGTATGAGTTTCTTGAAGCCGCTGTTTTCGTAGTCCGGGATGGCACATATTTTGGCATTTAAAAGCATAAACTGGGTTCCCATTGATGGTTGAAAGTAGAAGATTCATATTCTCTTTCCCACTATGAAGCACTTCAACTTCCTTTTTATGTTTATTTTGCCAGTCATGGCCCTCTCCATACCAACGCCGGAAATCAAAGAGTATATTGATTTGGCATCACTCGGCCCCCCTACCCACTATATGACAAGATGGCAAACCTGGAAGGTTTTTGGGAGATTTACTGGGAAGCTTGGTAAGCCTGAAAGAAATCCTTGCCCTGAAACCCTCAATGCTGTCAAGACCGTTGCTGTCAACGGGACCAAAAGAGCTAAAGTGCTCATTACCAACGCCAGCAACCTGCTCACTGCTGACTTGGTTAAGCAACTTAACGAGTTGCTTAAGGAACTTGGCCCGGTATGTTGTATTTACCGGATAGCCAGCGTGTTTTGTATCTTTCATAATGCTAACTGGCTGCAATTACAGGTGATTACTGCTTGTAGCCAAGGTGATTTCTATGCTACTCCAGCCACCACTAGGGTAAAGTGAGGGAATGAAAATGCAATACTTCCGGTTACCCTGCTGTGTCTATGTACTCCGATGGCAGGAGAATTATGAAATATGATGATTAGATGGAATCATTGGACTTAATCCGGATGGAGTGAGGAATGGTTACATTGAACATTCAGCAGGGATTGAGGCTGGCATATGACCTGCTGGAAATGGATTGAGTTCCTTTCCATCATTTATCTGTTCTTAGAAGATCCCCATTTTTTGACTCCCAGATAGATGCGCTACTACTCCATAGTTACTTACCATAATGTCAAATATAACTTAAGACTTCAATCCTACTTCCTACAACATAAATAGGCACATGTTTGTATGTACAGTACATGTACATGTACAATTATTCATGCTACCGCCAATAAAACGCCCAAACATTTCAATAAAAAGATAGAACACCGATATGATTCAGACATACACATTGTAGATGTCACGCTCCTAAAAAGCAACAGGGCAAACGAGGTGCGAGCATTGAACCTGCAGCCAGTCAATGCTCTGGCTTCTCAGCGGACAGAGGTTAACTTTAGGTTTAAGGTTTGCTGACGGCGGGTAGTTACCCCGCAGCCAAGCTTCGACTCCTTACCATGGTTCGCTGCCAACCCCGGCTCGGCTTCTGGGGCGGATGCCCGAGTAATTTTCTACGATATACTGAGTACACTTTCGTGAAAGCAAGCGCTTGTCTGCTGCTGCGAGGAAAATATGTGTGTGGCCGCCTTATTCGAAGCTCCAGTACAAAGAAAAACAGTGTTCAACATCAGGAATGGTAGAAAATATTATGTAGAAAAAGTGGATTATTTTGCAAGGCGAGCACAACTATTCCTGCCAGATATCAACCACATCGACCTTAAAGCTGCGTTAATTCTCATGGAAGAAAACACGTTCGGGTAAAATGTTGCAGGGATGTCGAAAAAGACAGACCAACAACATCGCTGTAATCACCCCGCCCATATCTTCTGCAACTGAAACTCCAATTCTATCTAACAGACCTTTTTAACACTGAGAATCAAACAAACAATGAGAAATCGAAAAAAAGATTAATCTCTTAAATAATATTAAAGCACTTAAAAAAATTCAGGTTATAGGTCAACGACAACCGAATGTGGCAGTGGCAGATCCACTCATCCAGCGTTCACTTTCCCCTAAACAGCACCCTGCATCCGCTTTCGCATGTCCTTCATATAGTAGTTTCGTGGAGCTGTTCGGATGAACATTGGCAGATGTGGATATATACCCTTAGTTATCCCCATCAAAGCCCGATAAACCCTCCGTCTCGACTTGGACGTCTTCAAACCATATGCCTCCCGGAAGCGTGGCGGTAGCCATTCAGCCGTCAACACGCGAACTGCTGGCATATTAGCCTTTATCCAAATGGGAGCCTTCTTTGGCCACAGTAAGTCCTCTGAAACGGAAATCGCGTGACTGGTGACTTCCATTGTCTCGATCTTGTCGTCCCAGTAAGCCCAAAAGGAGCGACGGTCGGCGGGCCATTTGCCAGCGGGAACTCGAAGAGCAGTTGCAAGAACGGAATACTCCGCATAGACCTTCTCAGATGTTTCGGCATCGAGAGAGCCGAAGATCTTCTCATAAATTCCCACTCCTGCAGCGTACAGCGTAGCAGCTACCCATAGCTGAAGATCTGGGTCGTTGGCGTCGTAGTTTGGCCCATTCACTGAAGCATGTGCGCGGTGGACCATATCGACAATGGTCTTTTTCTCGTTAGGAGTGCCAAAGGCAATGGTATAGATATAGGTCATAGTAGTCCGCAGCCTATCGGCTACTCGATATGCAAAGTTGCTATGCTCGTTCACTCCCTGTCCAACACCTGGATTGGCCACCTGCAGCAAAATTGCAACAGCTCCCCCTGCCAGAAGGATGCCTTCCTTGGTAATTTTCTGTATTTCCTTGGGCTCATATTCTAGGGGGAAATATGGTGATACCCGGGAAGGTGGTTTTTCAGTGATTTCAAGTGATGCCCCCCCCGGGTTCGCCGGATTCGGTTTCACGCCATTCTCCTCGACGGACCTTTTCTCCGCAGTAGCCATCACCGTACCAGTACCACTTTCCTTGGACTTTATCTCTGTACTTGAGTGCTATTATTTCCTTAGAATAAGACTAGAGATATGTGAGAAGAGTGAAGTCTGTCTTCCGCAGGATGTTGGGCTTGTTAAAATTTGGTAAACACTGAGAAGGAGCGTGCTCGCATGGAACAAAGTTGCAAAATCGGAAGTATTGTCCACATAAAGGTTCTTCAGCAGTAAGAGATATGTGGCTTCTTGTCCGACATCTTGATCGAACGCATAAGCTCAGCGTGCGGATTGTAAGGTACTTTGGTCAGGTTTGACATTTTCACATGGGCACGAACCATGGGACAAATCCGATCCATCCATTCTAACGACATGAAGTAGGCAAACCTGAGCAGAGTGAGGTAAACACAAGTAGACGAAAAGAACGCAATGGCACTCTTCTTAGAGTCATCCAGCATTCTGGCCTTGTTGTTCTACTGTTGGTGATTGTAGTCAAAATCGGGGTTATGTAAGTATCGTTGGCTAGTATACTAGCTCTAGACGTGTTAAGTCAACATAAGTGTGATGAAGAAATAAATGAGCCTGACTGCCTATATTGACACTGCGAAAGTAATTAGGGTTGTGCTAGAAGAGAACCCCTGTTGCTCTAGTTGTGTGATCCGAGAAACCATTCCCCGCGTTTGCAAGCTGGGCCGAATACTCACTACTCCGTAGATAGGGACGATAACTACCGACAGCAGCAACGGCTACATGACCAAGAAGATGAGTATACTTTTGTGGTTGGAGTAGTCCAGCAATGTCTTGACTAATACTTATACTGGGATGTTGCAAACGGGAGCGAACCGTTTGCCCCTTTTTTGGAAATTTTGTGCGTGCAAGAATTTGCTTGAAAAAGCACATGAAGAAGCTTCCTTCACAAACACCGAGGAAGCTTCCTATATGTAGCCAAAAAAATAAGTAGGACGTGAGTGGTGATGGATCGTCTTTAGCTTGCTCCACATGAACTAATGATGTCAGAGCCTCGTGCTGAATTGGGGGCGTGAAACAAGGATTACCACGTTGGATGCATAAAATGTGGGGTAAGTCAATCGTGGGGGCAGATGGATATAACCTGAGGAAAGACGAATCCTACTGCCCTTTAAACAGAGCAAGACATGGCCCCATAGAGTGGTCGAAATATGAATGTCTGCCGTCTGGGGGTTTCCCTTGACCCAACTAAGCTAGTTACTCACAGACGTCAGTTGTTGAATGCAATTGAGCTCACACAAATGTTCGATTGTGCGATCTAGGCAATTTATTCATACCAAAACCAGCTGGGACGCCCATTCCATCGTCCTCTTCCGGAGTGTACGTCGCCTCTCATCATGGGTACGCGAGAGAAGACGTCCGGTTATGTTATTGGGAACAACTGGGGGCAGTTCCCTGAGGATTCGGCCAAGGCAGTTGTCGGAGTGAATGGGAGTAGTGCTGAATATGTTGAGGTAGCTAAAGAGTGAGCGAAGTCGTCGTGAGAGGGTGACTGCACATTACAGACAATGGTGGCTGCGCCATTTGTTAGGAGTTATTATTTTGCTTGCAATTTCCCTTCCAGTATTATGAGGTTCACCTTTTCCCCCCTTCATGCTTGTCCTTGTCAATTTCCATGTTGTAGTTGTATGTTCTGATCCTGTAAGCCTTTCCGAAAATGTGAGGCTAACTCTGGAGTATTTAACTTATCTAACTTTCTGATCGCTTTCCCTGCAATTGTCCAGAGGATGGTTGACTACACAGGCCTTCCCGTTCACGCAGGGAAGCTCATGAATCCCACGCCGGATAGCCTCGACTATTCTATCTCGGCGTCGCTTAAAGTCCCTGCCCCATTCATAGTGCAATTGGACCCCCTTACTATAAACTTAGATAGAGCCCAGGACACCCCCGAACAAGCGTATGTTGGTATCCCATTGCCACGGCTCGAACTAAAAGGGAATCCGACGATAGAACTTGTCGACGAAACTGTTCCAATTTTGCATCAGGTGGACTTCACAAAATTTCTCTTTAAACTTACTCATCAGCGCACTTTTGTTTTAGCAGTGGAGGGTATAACAGTTGCATATCTAGGAAAACTAAGGGCCAAAGTGAAACTGGACAAGAAACTTGAGCTAAACGGTATGCAACCCGACAGAGACCCTCTTCTTTGCCCAATTCGGCTAAGTCATCACGCTGCAGGTCCGGACATTTTTAGAGGATTCAATATCGAATCTGCTAGAGTCACACTTCCCTGTCAAGAAGATGGCACCAACCTGAAAGTGGTTCTTATCATCATGTTGCAGCTAGTAAGATCCGCAAGATCCGCATCTGTTATCCCTCAGGCTCACAAAAGCGTGCTAGGGAATTGTAACTCTAGACCTTTTCTCTGGTGATATTCTATTAGGCCAAGCGGTCGCTATGACGCGGTGCTCAAGCCGGGCAACAACACTGTCAACGGTGACTGTAAGATCGACATTAAATCGGCGATCGCTAATCTCGTTCCCATACTTGAAGGGCAGAAGAAGGCACTTAGTAAAGGGAACCTAGAACTCACGGCAAACGGCAATACAACTATCTATAAAGGAAAGCATATCACGTACATTGAGGACGTCCTGAACAATATCACCCTCAAAACCTCGCTATCAATCATAAAAGCGCTGACTCAGACCCTTCGCGGTTTAACAGAGGGTGTAAGGGTCTCGGAGGCATTCTGGACCTGCTCAAGGGAGACGGCTTCGATGATATCATGGGAGTCCTCAGGGAGGCTCTAAAAGGAGACGGGGTGAAGGATATCATAAACGGCCTAGACACTGTCCTCAAAGAAGTGGTTGGGGGTGAAGGTGCTAGTCTCAACGATAGTCTATGTGGTTCAAATCTCAAAGATGTCGTTGGAGGCTTCAAAATAAAAGATGTCGTAGGAGAGTTGATAAAATTGGATTTGAAAGAGTTGGGCATCGACGAAATTCTGAACGAGTTGAAAAATTCCCAGTCTTAGTGTCAGTACAAGGATTTTTTGGAGGGCGGCTGAGGCAGTTGGTCGTTAGACTATATAACACGTTAAATAATTCTAAAGATACCCACTTCGGTTAATATCAATTAAGGATAGAGCAAAATTATTATCATCAAACGCGATTGTCCACCAATATGTATGGATTTTACACAAGTTGTGCTTCGTGGAACGATAACTGTGCCCCCTTACTCCTGCTGGTTCCATTGACATGACCACTTCATGCAAGGTTTCAACGTCTTGACATTGCAGGCCAGCAGACAGGGCACGCCTGAAATCAATCCCTAGAAGATAGCAAACTCGTAGATACCAAGAATATCTAATGATGATAGAATTCCGTTGAGACCCTTCAAAAGAGAATCATAATCCGGGCTCCACAGAATCATACGTGGAGCCCGCCATGGATTTGTCGGCATAAAATAGTGGAGAAAAAAAGAAAAGGAGTAGTTACGTGAAGGAAATTTGGGCAGCGAAATTTGCGTGTAAGTTAAAACGTTTTCAATCGCATCAAATTCCCTAAGACATAGAACATCGCAAACAAATATTATAATGGATATCTGGTTGAAGTCAGGTGCAGCCACCCAGCTCAGAATTTCCTGTTGTTCTGTACCAGAAGGATATCCTGATGACAAAACCAAAACAGTTGATATTGTAATGGCAGCGGACTCATCAATAATATTAGAGTGTGCAGATTGAGTGTATGCGGCTTCTCAGTGTGCGGGCTCAAAATCTTGTCCTGCTTTTGTGGATTTGATATGTCCCATTTCTTACTGCCGTAGATCGAGACAGTTCCATGCCAGCCAGGTAAGCTACCAAACGGTCATTCGTGCAGAGGACGACATGTGCTCCTATGACATCTAGTATTTTGGAAGATCCAAGAGATTATTTCAGACCAATTCCTATGTGTGAGGTGGTGTTGGTCATATTCGCAATTCCCGCTGAAACTGAATAAGAGCTCGTGAGCACGTACCATGCCGTCTATTTAAGCTTCAAGAGCACAGCGATATGATCCCACAGACATGATGTAAATTCTTTCTCGTTCCTGTTAGATGTTTGCGCTTCATTCAACGAGATGTTCTATTGTCATCGGAAGCAGAACGTTCCCGCATCCAATTGTCCTTGATATGACATTGCCTGCAACATATCAAGAGCAGGTATTTTTTATTGCGTGGAAGTGATAACTAATAGTTACGGCATACCACAGTGGGAGATTGCTTATGGGCCAAATGTAATGCTACATCAAGTGTGCGGATTCATAATATAGAGGGTAGAAACGCGGTTAAATTTTTCCGACAGTGGGAATTTATGCCATTGCAGAGGAACCCTTGGAATGTTGTGCTTGAAGTTGCCACAGAAGAGCTGCGGACTAATAAATATTCCGGCGGGGTTTTGAGAAGTGGACTGGATAGGGGTAAAAGACTCGCAAGTACAGTGAGTGGCCTGGGCAAACGATACTCTTGATCAATATGATGCCAATGATGACCAAGGCTAGTTACCTTTCGTTTCGACGTACTGGCTCTTCCTGGTTCTCAGCGGGCGTTGTTGTCACTTTCGCCAAAGGCTCAGCTGAACAAGCCCTCTAAATGCCACTTCATCAAACTATTGGTTAACTAAATAAGAGCCAATTCGCCCCACTATCAGCGATATCACCGTCTTCAGGTTCAAGCTATGCATCGCGTCATGAGTTCATAACCTCTTGCATGTGTTTCCTCGCAGACCCCGAGAAGTTTCCTGAGGGAACAAACACCCGTGGGACATCAGTGATAGCCTTGGAAGCTTATTGCTACTTGGTGCAATCGTTAGTGACCCCCTATTCTCAGTCGTGAGAAGAAACATACCGGAGCCCGATCTACCTCGCCCCCTGGGCAAATTGAGGAGAGAGAGCTGCAGAGCTCAGTTCTTGGAGGGGTTGACCGCCATTCCCTCACTTTCAAGGGTTTTAAGGAGTTACCAAACGGCCTGCTAGCCAGGCCAATCCTCTACATAACCGCCTACTAATTGCATGAATATCATTAGGAGTAAGGACTAGCAAAGTGTATGCGTTCATTCATTATATCTCGCCGCTCAGTGCATTGGACATCGGATTTTCTCCTCATCGTTTCCAAATGTCGGAGACGGCCCTCAAATCGTTTTCCAAGATGGAAGTCTCATCTCATAATAAGGATGGAGACATGTGGGTGATAATTGATCAAGATATTTACGATATCAGCAAGTTCCAGGATGAACACCCTGGTGGTAAAAAAAGTACGTTCCGCACTACTACACTGCAGCTAGCCAGCCATTCGGAGCCCAACCATTTTATCATGCCCAACTACCCAACGACTTGAGAATTCCATACGTTCCGAAGTCACTCTGCAGCAGTTTAAACTCCATGCGCATCAATTGGTCAAAATGTTCCCTGACACCCCACCATGACGTGATGGAAAATCAGTATCTAACTTGGGATTTTGCTTAGTCTTGCTCAGCGTGGCTGGAGGCGATGCCACGAAGAAATTCCACAAATATCACCGGCGGGGCATCCTCAGCAAATACAAGGGTACACTCCTCATCGGCGCTGTACAAGAACCCCGGCAAACACGAAAATCGATTTTCGGCCTCCTGAAACGATCATGAGGGAATGTCAGATAGCATGCTGGAAATTATGATCCTGGGCTCCTCAGTGTTCAGGTTACTTGACTCCAACCCCTCTTCCCTAGAGGAGTAAATGATGTACAGTTACAATTTTGTACAAGTGTCTTCGGCTCCACAGTTACGATTAAGATCTGGTTTGCAAGCACTGCTAGCCTGTACAGAGTACAGTTTTCAACAATCCCTCCTCGAGCCCATTGGTTTCCATTTCTGGGCGCACGCCGATAGATTAGATTTATTCCTTCCAGCCTCATGACATACATTTCGCTTAGGTGTCTAATGCACTGTCTGGGGAGCCCCCCGCATAATCCTGTTCACAAGCAAGCTTCTCTTCAGTCCGTGATACCTGATATGCCTCTATCACGAACGCATTACAAATTTCTTCACTGCGGGGTTTGTTGACCCCCTTTTTTTTTTTAATCACAGTTAGGTAACTTCAGGCTGTTCGGAATCAATGGTCACCCTTCAAGTAAAGAGGCTACATATAGAAGGAAGGATTCTAGGTTTCCTACGGCGGGAGCGAATACGGCGGCCCCTTAGAATAAACTAAGCGGAGCAAATTAAAAATTAAACTAGACTTGAACTTCGCATTGGACGAAGATCTCCTTGCCCCTCTCCTTTGTTCAGGCCCAGTCCGGATGCGTCTTTCACCGTCCTGTATCATGCCAACGCCCAAAGAAAGACCACACATACTGTAGCATGACCAACTTCCGGGGCGAATTGAGATAGTATTGGCAAAATACACGCTGCAAAGAGAGAGAGGGAGGGAGGGGAGGGAGAGGGGCGGGGGGCGCAAGCGATGAGAAGCCAAGCTACAAGAAAAGTGGAAACTCTGACATGAAAACTAGTCAAGCGACAAGCTACTGGCTAACCAGGCCAGCGGAACTAAGTTAAATGTCCAGCAAGGTTTCCTGGCTGTAGCAGATACAACGCTCAAGTGCAAATCCCAAATAAGCCCAAGCCGCAAAAGCCGACAAAATCGAGGTCTGTGATGTTCCAGTTACTTCGCGCGTGCCTGAAGCAACCTGACCAGTACCTAGTGGGAATCACCGGTTCGCAGGTTGAAGAGTTCGGAATCCAGCTCATTGGGATTGTTCTGTTTTGTTTTGTTGTTTTGTGTTTTTTGTTTTTTCCCGGCAATATCTAACTAAGTGGGGTCCAGGTCTTATTTACATGATGATATCAATTCCGTTCATTTCCCAGTCCTGTGTGGAGCGATGATATTTGACTACTTGAACTTCTAGCTAGTCTCCATCCTTGAGCAGGAAAGGCTGTAAAAATCTCTATTTTGACCTCAAGTTTACGCTTCGCTCCTCTTTGTCACCACCCCTTTTCTTTTGCTTTCCAGGTCTCCTTAACCATTGTACTGTACATGTGCAGCTTGTGGATTCGACGGCCCCTTAATGCTACTTTTCTCGAATAATCCACCTCCTCTTGACTCTGCGCTCCGCAAAGTTTTTTCCTCTGCTTCCGCGCCGTGATATCGTTGGAATTTGACGCGCATCGATTGGGTTGGTGCAAGCAACCTCCCAACCTATGATATTGCCCCTGTATATCCCATTAACTGCGCATTTCCCTTCCATCATGAACCTGCTGTTGCCATAGCCACATTTCCCGTTCACGCTACACCTCTTTTCTTCGCTTGTCCGTTCCATTTAACCAAGATAGGACAGGGCGTACCCGCTTCATCATGTATGCCACACTGCACGTCTTGTATCAGTGTCGACCCTTGAACCCAACTCCATCCATTGATACATTTCAGGTACATGTAGGGGTTATTGTGCGCGGGCACATGAAATATGTATAGCTGAATGTGCAGAATATATATATGTATAGCGAGCTGACAGCCATGATGTCCCCTACGAGGGGCGAATGCTCGGATGGTAGATTCCCCATCACCAAAAAGAAACTCCGATGCTTTCCCACATGCTTTCCCTTCACCTATGCAATATGCGATGATACCAAAACGTTGAATATGAGAGAATATAGGAATCAATTCCAAATGTTGTTGCAATAAAAGAAAGGTATGTGCGACAATGTGGCGGGACCACACGAAAGAAAGATATATGAAATGCGACAGAGCCCCAGAAGAACAATGAAAAGGATAACACGAGCTTCGGGCCTATATCCCGCCAGATGATCTCAAGCATCGTTCGCGCGGTTCCCCGCTCCACAGTTTTCCAGTGGTCCTTCTACACAGCCACAATCCATCGTCGTGATGGAAGCTCCGGTCCATTTCCTCGTTTCGGATTTCGTGTGCCGTTCGAGTGGCTAAGTGTATTCGTAAAATGGAATGAGAATATACGGTATGAGAATCCCAATAAGTTGCCCCTTGTTGAATATTTATAGAACGACCGGCGCTGGGGACTGGTAAAACGAGATCAGAGAAAATAAGAGAAACGCACTGAATAAATCTGTTCGCAGCGAAAGCGAGAGCAAGCTTATGACAGAGGGAGCTGTTTGTCACCCCGTATCCAAAAACCCCGCAAGTTTACCATACTCCGCTGTACAACCAGAGAGGTCAGTTCTGTCATCGATTCCAGTTGCCAGGGGCCCATGAATACAGAGACTGTCCATCTCCGGTGTGGTATGGCCCGTGGTACAGCCCAGGAACATTAGCATGAGGATTCGTGACACTGCCATCCAGTTGCAGATCCGATCTCGATAGTCCCGTAGCTCGTTCTCCGGTTGGCATGAATGAATTTGCGGTTTCAATGCTAAGATAAGTTGGGCTACCATTTGGCTCATTGGGGGTACATTCAGTCGCCATTCCGAAAGTAGCTGGGTATGAATGGTTAAATTCAGTACCTGTCGCCAGCAATGGCCATACGTTTGCATTGCCATGGTAAAATGAGTATGGAACATGAGGTCCCCCAATCGATGGTTCAAGCTTCACGCAGTCGGGCCCTGATGGAGATGCGGAAGCGCTCTTGCTTGAGGGAGAAAATTCAACTGAACTGGTAGGCTCTGGGGACAATTCATCCGTTACGACAGAGCCAGCCAATTGTGGGAGGCCTTTCCAGCACAATGTAGGGGATGAAGTCTCATCAGCTATCTTCTCCGGGGCCTCTTCAGCTTGTTTTATCAATCCTAGCCTATCCAGAATGGCGTGGGTGCATGGATTGCCATCCACAAGATCGATTGGATCCCCTGGGAAGCACTCATTGTTTATGCAATGGGTGTATAACTGCTGCAGCGCCTTCACTACCAATTCATGGTGCGACTCGAGCATTTCGACAAAGCTATGACAGAAAACAAAAAACAAAAGACAACATATTTGTCAATCCTTTGTCGACGAGAGAAAGCAAACGGCACAAAAGAGGAATGTAAGATCTCACCCTCTTGAGTACGCCTTGGTCTGCGTCGCCTTTCGCTCACGAAATAGACATGGATGGTTGTACGCCGCACAGCGGTAACACGGTTGGTTTCCGTCGCACTGGAAAAATTATAAGTCCAATGGCCTTTCAAGGAGAGCAATAAAAATGATCGCGGCGTTTTATGAGTGGACCTTTGTCTTTTTTACCCTGCAACGGTCGCAAGCCTTCAGAACATGTTTTCGTTTCGCCCTAAATATTTGATGCTGGGTCCCGCCTTCAGCAATATGCTGCGATGAGCCGAAGCCTGAAAATGATGCCATCGTATTGGAAGCGGAATGAAGCTCCGGAAGGTTGGTTGAAACATGGAGCTTTGGAAAAAGTGTGGGTGGTTGCGGCATTGGGGCGTCCTGCTATTGAGGGATTACGTGTGGTAACAAGGGATAAAAGTAAGGGCGATGTTAGGGGAACTGAATACGTGCCAGCGAGACCTCACGGAAAGGGTAGATTTGCAGGGAGAGAGGAAAGATAAGATATAGAAAAGAGCTGACAACGATTATAGGGAGTGACAAGGCCAAGTTCTTCTTTCTGCATCCAACCCGCCTTTTCTTTCCCACACCACTTCTTCCTCGTACTTATAGTACAGTACAATGCTGTGACGTGGAAACAGCTCCGGTTATGATGCCATCAGAATATTTCTCGCCAGGCATTAACCCCTTCCACATTTTTTCTCTCATCCCACAATGGCGCGCCCGTCTTATTCGAAGCAACATAGGGAAGTCTGAATTAGCGCGCCTTTCATTAGGGGTGAGGGCTGTGGACTGCGCAATAATACCACCGTGTGTTTTGTGTCAGCGTGACTTGCACCAAAGCATTGCGTGGGGTATTGAGGTAGGGACACGAAATATCCAAAGCGGCCCGATCTGACCCCAAGGAGAAGCGGGGCAGTGAGCTAAGATTTCGACGAAATCGGAGTTAGTGGATGAATGCTGTCTGTTTCTCTGCAGGGTGCTGGGGTCGACGTTTTGGGCATCAATCGTCGAGGATTAAGAGTAGCTCATGGTGTCTCTCCTCCTCTCGGCGGCCTTGCGATAACTCAACTAGGGCCTTCCTATGGAACACCGTGAAGGCAGCTCTCCGTGCTAGAGAATCGATCATCTATGGTCAACCAGATGAGGGGCAACTAAGGGGGACTCAGACGATAGACACGAAAGATTTTTAACAGGCAACATTGCATCGAAAATGATAGGCAGGCAGAGCACCGCACCCTTTTGAACCAGACGGATATTCCACAGTTGCCCCAATTGATGGCCCTATTTTGAATACCCGAAAATTGCCCTTGGCAGCCTGTGAAGTTTGGCCCACTAACCTTAACAACCTTCGAGTTGTTAGCTATTTGACTCAGCCTACAGCCCGATGTTTCTCTAATCTAACCGCATAAATCTGGTCATCTGAATCGTTTTACTATTATTCGGCCCAGATATCATCCTCAGCAACCGGACATTAACTAGTGGCCAGGGAAGCGATGGCAGAGGAAAATCTCCCAAAAGGGGGGTTTAGGCGTTTTGGACACCAGCCGATATGCACACATATTTGTAAATATGTAAACGGATACTGCCAGCGCCAGTGTTTTCTTCATGAAGACAGGCTTAGAAAGGTGGCAGACTAGAGAGCTATGTGGCTTAAGACACCGCGCCGTTCTTGATCGGGGCATATAAATACCCCCAACAGCAAACTTTTTGCACATCCCAGTTCCACCCACGATAGTTGACAAATTCTCTACAGACAAAGCCAATATACGGAGGCTCAACGCAGAGTCACATGATTCCTCGCTAACCGTCTCTACTCAAATTTTTGCTCGTCGACGAAGCGCGGCGGCGGGGATACTAACAAGATATCGATGGCGGCAGCTGGTGTAGTAGCAACCCGCAGGTAGGCAACCCAGGATATGGCTGGCATCGAAGTGCTGCTATTGGGAATACGACATCTCAGTTCAGGCTTACACCTGCAACTCAACGTGCATGCTGTACGTATATGCATACACCTCTGGTTTCTGGTACAGAAGGACGAGTAACTATATTCCTCCCCAAGGCGGGCTGTTGATCGATGTGAATATCCGAGAACGGAAAAGGCGTTAACGCCCTGTTTACCCTCATAAATTTGGTCTTCTCGAGTGAAATTTACATCAGGGCTGACATGAAGGTACTATCTGTCGCCGTTCTTAGAGCGGCTAGCTGCATAAGCTACATGGAAAATAGTTTTCGGCCGTGTCTCTCTAATGTCGTCATATAAACGCAGCATTCGGCTGAGCAGATAGGATAAGACTCTTAGTCCATTCATCACTACGCAGCCTGGTTAGAAGTATTGTTTCCGTGTCCCTCCGTGGCGCCTTTCTCCAACAGTTCATGCCGCCTCGTTCGCGTTCTAAAGGCGCTTGGCATGCACTTGCATCCCTGCGCGATATCGATACAAATGAACTGTTAGGAAGCCTTCCGGATTCAAGTTGGATTTTATTTCTTTTTTCTCCCCCCCCTCTCCCTTCCCCCTGTCTGCGTCCAATATGCGAGGGATTAGAGTGGCCCCAACAGAGTTAATCTGAACAACAACACGGCGAGGCTGCTAATTTAGTGTGCATGCTCAAGGATGGCATCCAGTGCCGACACCCATGTCAAACAGAGCGTGTTGGTTGTTCTGACAGAAAAGTAGGGAGGAAGAGGGGGCATCTTTCTATACCCGGTACACTCCTTCCCCAAATCCTCCTGTAACCCGTTGCCTCGGGGAATTAATTCATAAATCTGAAGTGTATGATCTATGACTAGGATGGGAGCTTTCATCATGAGCCGCATGTGCCAAACAAAACTGAATTCTAGTGACATTCTCGGCCTACCTTCAGCGGTTGCAGAAATCCACGGGAACGAGTTCTTCATATTCGAGAGACCGAGGTGGTGCGGTTAACCTGGCGCAAATGCCCTTTAAACGCATTACCCCGCGAGCGGGCCGCCGGTTTTTGTCCTGTGCATACGATTGGAGCTAACTACCAAGGACAGCGAAGGCCCCGTTTTTCTTTGCGAGCCTTATTTTGTTTTAGCTTTGGTAGCTCTCCTACTGGTAACCGACAAATCTAACCCTGCAGGATCTCCGCTCTCTTCTTGCCTTGTTGGGGAGATCATGGATGATATGCTTTGGAGATGTCCCGCAGTACATGTTTTGCAGCAGCATGTAAACAATCTTCATCCTCGACTTAAAAGATCTTATTTCATGCGTTACCTCCAGCGCTAGATGTCCCGAACAGAAAAAAGCCACAGAGGATTTTTGCATCCAAGGAAAGAGTGAAGAGCAAAAGGTAAAACACGATAGGCGACAACAAAAGGCGTCACGAGATAGGAGCAACGGTTAATGAGAAGATGCAGACGCTATGATCGACCAGACAGCTTCGACCATCGGTTGTCGAACCACCTTTCTATCCGTGACCTTGCAAAGTTAAATTCCGCACTTGCCAGCACGCGATACAGTCCTCGCCTCTTGTCGTTTTATTTGCTTTTTATATGGCTTTTCTTGGTCCCTCTTACTTAGGAGGATCGGGACGCCATGGCGCCAGAGGAAGCAGTATCAGAAAAGCAGAACTGATGACTGGAATGAAGAGAGGTTTAGGACCATAGGCCCTGGCTACTTACGTTGTAAACACGATCATTTCGGTGTTTTTGGAAGCCTACATTTCATCGATTTGTCGAATTGGAGATGGATGAGGCGCAAAATCGGCAAACGAGGAACGGAGGGACGTCCAGGAAAAAGGAGGGTTGTGCTGCTGAGATTTGTCCTCCACTCCACAGGAAACATGCAGGTAAGTAAACGTGGGGGTTTTCACTCGCGTAACCAAGGCCATGCAGACATGAAACAGTCGAACGGTAATGGCAGGAGTCTATTCGTTTATGAGATGGAACTATTATTTGCGTCAAAGTGTTCCATTTTCCGGCAGCTACAGGATTAAAGGATCCCAGATACCAAACCAACGGAGGGGGCTAAACCGAGTAGCGGAACTTAAATCCAAAGTCGGCCGCAGCTCACTACTTAGTTCATTAACTAAAAGGAGGAAAATTACCACACTCACCTGGGCATCACGCCATCAGTTGAGGAACTGATGTATTGATTACTACATACATTCCTTGGTTCGGTGCCCAACTCAAAGTCCACTTAAGCGGAGGAAAACAGCTCGACCTGTTGGCGCCGTCCACGTCAACATGTAACTTCACTACATCTAATGATGTCCATTTACGGAGAAATTGGGTTGAGAGAAGGACGGATGGAAAGGTGGAGAGACAATTATAGGGTTGGTAGTAGTGGGGAGAGACGGGCGTTTATAGGAGTACAGACATCCCCCTTTAGTCTACGAGGAAGCTTGTTTGGAGGTAATGAGATATTTCATATTGTGAAAACTACTTGCCCTGGCGCCTGTTCAACTAGTTAGAGTCCAACGAACGGAAAAAAAAAATAAAAAAAAATATAAAAGAGAAAACAACAGCGGGGAGAGCTTAGTGCACATGTACTCCGTACAGTAAGTTATATCAAGTAGGAACATGATGTTAGTAACATGACGCCCATCTAAGGTAGCTAGCTACAAATCCCAGCCAAGTTATCAAAAGAGTAAAAAGCTAGCCAGCGAAGCAACTGCTAACTCTGCTCAAGCATGACACTAGCTTCCCCATGAGCTAGATGATCAAAGCTCTCCTCACTCGCCGCTGTCGTCGGTGGGCTGGGCGGGTCAAGCGGACCCTCGTTATGATCTTTCTCAGCGACCAACGTGCTTTTAGTCTGTCGGTGCTCACCAGTGCTAGAGGCTGCTTTAGATGAAGGATCATCCGCCCATTTCCTGTCGCCAATATATTCAAATGCATCCCCAGCACCACGAACACCCTTAAGTTTCTGTCGCGACTTTTCCCGCTCCGCAAGCCAGAATGAGTTGCCTCCATCTTCATCATCCGCATCTTCAGACGGCGGAGGAAATAAATTCCTCAGATGCCATCCACCCAAGAACATCCCATCCAGGTCAGCCGACTTGCGCACTCTTAACCACTCTTCTAGATCGCGCCCGTACATTTGGCTTATTTCCTTCTGCCCAGTACCGGAACTGAAGTTTTTGGCCCAATGCGGACGTCCACCCATCTCTCGCATTAACCATTCGAACGCCTCGTAGTACCTGGCCGTACAGGGCGGGTCCCGCAGGTGCGGGCGGTAAAGAGTCGCATTGAGAAATAGTGTGGGTCCCGATACGCAGGTTGGGTCCAGATAAGGGCGTGGCGTGTTGGCTTTGGATGTATCAGAGACGCGCACTTCAATGGGAGCATGCACCCAGAGCCCTTCGGAGCTGAATGGGATCTGGGCAGTAGCCGCATCACCATTTAGCCAGGCTGAAAGTCGAGTGATAGCTTCTGGTCCCTTTTCTAATGGTAGTGCCCACTCATTGACGAACTGGGAGTACAGGCAGTTCATGAGCAGGCCTGTTCGACCAGGCTCCACAGCCGAAGCGGTCAGTTTACCAGCCCTAAAACCATATTGCATACCGAAAACAAACCATTCGACCCAGGGGAGAATTCGCGGACAATAATTGGAGAGATATAATAAACTATGGTAAATAAAATTACCAACACGGCCGCCGTAGAAGTTGGCTGGTGGCTGGCGGAGGGGTAGTTCCGTTTTATCCGCGCGCCAGACGATCGCCCGCTTCCAATACGGCAACCACCAGACGCGCACATACTCCGAAGATGTCCAGAGACCCTTATCCCACGATTCTAGTACTTGTGGTAACTTCTGTACAGATTGCTGCCATGCTATTTTAAAGCTTGGTACCGTCTGCAGTGTCATTTCCGTAATGATGCCGATTGCGCCTAGCGACAAGAGGGCGGCGCGGAAGAGCTCCACATTGCTCTCAGCACTACAGCGCACCACCTGCCCGTTAGCTAGGAGAATGTTCAGCGCCAGCACGGACTGTGACAGCAGTCCGTATCTCAATGAGCTGCCATGGGTCCCCGTCGAGATCACGCCGGCAATACTCTGCTCGTCAATGCTACCTAGATTTGGCAGCGTGAGGTCATATTTCTCCAGCTCGACACCAAGATCACGCAGTCGTATGCCCGCCTCGACTGTCACAATTCCCGTGTCGCGCGAGAAGGAGAGGATACGGCGGAAATTGTCGAGGTTGATGAGCCAGGCGGAGGTGCAGGTGAGGTCTGATGGCGAGTGTGCGCTTCCGACTGTGACCAGTCGGCGGCGACACCGGCGAGCGAGCGTGACAACTTTTTGAAGCTCTGGAACTGATTCAGGTTGTATGTAGAGTTCTGGGCGCCAGTAGAATGTCTTTGCCCATGTGTGATGCAGGTGGGAGGATGAGGCGCGGAAGGGGATGGCGGGGTCAAGTTTTGAGAGCTCATGGGCGATGTGGGGGTCCATGGTGGGCTTGTCTATTAGATCAACGCAATCACGATCGGCGTAGCAAAGGAGTCGGGGAATTCGATCGTGATAGGAATAACGTATTGTGTGGCCTTAGAGTGGATTTTCTTGTGATATTGTGTGATGTGATTAGACGTTGGCTGCTGAAGGCTTGCCGCTCCAGCGCATGGGGTTGGATAGCGGAAGTGAAGTTGTGGCAACGCGCCCGCAGTAGTTAACTCTTTGGCAGGGTCACAGTATGCGCACTTTCGTCGTCCTAGCCCTCTGAGGACTGGATATACTAGCTGTCTTGTAGGCTTGTTGTGCGTGAGAGGGTCTAGCTCTCTGCCTGCGTGTGGATGTTGTCACTGATGAAGTTCGGAACCGAAGCTCGCCGAGGCGTTTACAAAGATTTAGTGAGGCCTGCCTAGCAACGCCAAAACGAGCAGAAACATAACGGGCAAAAAGAAAAAAAAGATGCACTTATGGTTGTGATACTTCATATTTCTTTCATATTCACATGATTTATTTTCCTTCTTTCGCTGTGGCATTGCACCTAATGCATTGTTCCGCCTGCTATGCAACTAGCAAAGGTTGATATCAAGCCATAAGCCCCAGAGCATGTACTCCGTACTACCTCACTCTCAGGAGAAGCGTGTATTGTTCATAATGCGATTAACAATATAGCGATACATGTCGTATGTATAGAAGTCGTCTCTTAATTTTTACATGAGAAGAAACAGCCCCTCGCCAGGGTCCTCAACCCAACCACCTCCCCGCACCCTAACAAACACCAATGCAATGCATCAACCTTTTTACACAGATCCGAAAAAGCTGAGATCTGAGATCAGCCAGAAAGAGGGGGATCCCTCTTACACGCTGTCATGCACATTATTGTATAACAGGAAACAGCCAACCAACCAGAGAAGCAAAAGTCAGACAAGAAAAGAAAAGAGAATAGAGGACAGAGAATGTAGCACCAAGATCACATCAAAATCAAGAGACAAAAAAAGACATGAAAACGAGCTCCGCTATGGAAATTAATGCAAGAAAATGGATTAAATAAACAAAAAACAAGTCCATAATGAGGAGGAGGCTAGCTGATCAACCTCCTCCAAAACGGCAAGCAGAGTGAAGAAAACAAATATAAAATCACCGAATCGCTTCTATAGCAGCATTAAGGGGTATAACGGTTGGCGTCTTTCTTGGAGATACCATGCCCCGATCTTCCCACTTTCTGAATGCCCGCTTACATTCGTTTGGAAGTCCGTAAATCACGACGCTGCTGTTGGGCAGGAATGGCCGGTCTTGCAGAGATACAGCCATGATGCTGTATTCCTGCGCGAATATCAATGCGGAGGCGAATTCTGCGGATCGCGCGTGGGCTCGATCTCCAACAATACTACAAAGAGTAAGTAAATGGAACGGTAAAAAGGTTCCAGAATTGAGGAATACGGGTTCTACTTACACAAAAATCTCAAAGAAGGTATCCAAGATGTGAATGTAATTGGGGTCGAGATCGCGCTGGCAGAACGGTTCGATTTCCTGCACAATATCATTCGGCCTCGTTACGGGCGACGAGGTCCCGCGACGACTCCAAAAGCCAGATCCAAACCTCTGCCCAAGTTCATAGTCTATGCGGTAAAGTCGGCAGCAATATTTCCCGTTCGTGGGCTTCAATTTCCAATGATCTGCCGTTTGACCCGCGGTTGGTTGGAAAGTGTCCGGAAAGGTCTCGAAGAATCCCGGTGGTTCCTTGCCTTCAATGACTTCCTCGATTTCACCTGTTAAGCCCAGGTCCATACCTATAAGTCTGGCGCAGCCCAGCTCATCAGCTGTACTTCCACGACCTTGCCAGAGGTACAGCTTGCCGAATTTAGCAGAGATTAGGTACGGATAGCCGGAACATAGACTCGAAGCGGCCAGATCGACTTCATCAAAGGCAATCTGGCCCATATGTCGGCGGCCACAGAGCATATACATTGCAGAAGAATTGGTGCGACTCCCCGAGCCACGACGCGTGATGATAATGCCGCCGAGAGCTTGAATGAAACTTGGCGCCTCTTTTCCTTGCTTGACGAGCTCAAGCTTACAGCTATTTTCCCGGGCAACCTTGCGAGCAAATAGCTGTGCGTCCTCAATGGCCGCCTCAGCTACTTCGTCGCCGCACCAAAGATGAACTTGAGTGGTTTTAGAACCCCCTGCTACATCGAAAACATGCACGCATAGATACATGCTTTGTTCAAAGAGTATATACCCTTGGTTAGCTGGAAGATCCTTCCGCTTCCCATCGCCAGTGATCTCCCATATTTGCTTCGATATTGTGCTGATTTTGGGATATACATCCGGTCGTGACATTAATACCGCCTGAGGGTCGACTTCAACTTTATCACTTGCTTTTGGCATAGCGTCGAAGAAACTTGAAAAGACATTAACTGCTTCCGATGACTCGGGGAATGGCGATATTTTAGAGCCAATCAAGGTTGACTTTTGTCTAGCAAGCGTGGGGCTAGAATGTTTCGGAGGTACAGGAGGGGAGTCAATACGTTCTGGTGGGAAGGGAGGAAGACTCTTTTGGCCTAGAGAATTTGCTGCTGGGGGTGAAATCGCAGCAGGTTTGGGAGGTGGACTTGGCTTTCCCTCAGACTTGAAACTGTCACTGGAAGTGGTTCTTCGTGGAGTTGGGGTAGGGGGAAGAGAGTCGACCTCCACGTATTTTTTCGAAGAAAGTAATTCCAACTTGGGCTCAGTCCCGTCGTTTTCTGAATCGGTTCTTTGAGGACCATTGCCAGTAGGAGTAAACTTTCTAAGATCAGGAGACTTCGAGGATACCAGTGGTTTATCTTTGGTTTGTTTCAGTTCACTTGGTGTGAAGAGTACATTAGCCACGTCCGACTCCCCCCTGCTCGACGGGAACCCTCTGAGTAATGATCTCACATCTTCTTTGGTAGGTGAAGCATCCAGGCCGAATTTATCACCACTAGAGTTGGCATCAGGCAATCGCCACGATGTCGTTACTTCGACTTTTGAGGGTGTTTTATCTTCATTCTGCTGTGCTTTCGGTTCAGGCTTTGCAGACTGTGGTAGCCTTCTTTTCGGTCCCTTTGCTCGACCTTTTGTGGTGTGCGTCAACTTCCCTGGTGTAGATGGCTCAGACGACCCAGAATGTAAGGATGTTGGCAGTGATGGTTTATCATTCGAACCGCTAGATGACCCGTTGCTAGAAGGAGGTCCGCGGGATAAGAGGCCTGCTAAAGCAGGGTTCAACCTATCAGCAAGTTTCCCCGTACCAGAACGTGCACGTGGGGCGCTGGGTTTCCCTTGACTAGCACTATGATCGTACGTGGACGCAAAACTTGACACTTTTGAGGACCGGTCAGGACTGACCCGGCCGCTATTCGATTCCGTCGTCGTCGAATGTGGCAGCGAAAAATCAGTCTTCTGATCTAGTTTTGCGGTGGTAACATCGAATTTTCCAGATGATAAATTTGGTGAGCGCTTGCCTAGCTCAGGTTTTCCACCTTCTAGGCTGTTTTCCGAAGGTTTTGAGGTAGGGGATTGGAAGCCCGGGGTAGCAGCAGGGACGACATTACTGGCACGGCCTTGAATGTCCGACCCAACGGCTCCGGCCAGCTTTACTTCTCTTGAAGGACTTCCAGCTTTGGGCTGTTCGGCTGGATTCAAGAGTGTGCCGTTCCCCGAAAAGTTAGGAATAATACTTCCACTTCTGGACTTTGTCATGGCTCTCCGCCTTGCAATGGCCTCCGGGATCTCAGGCGACGGTTTGTCCGGGGAAGGAGACCTGCTATCTCCAATAGTTGGGCGTCGGATCGAACCTCCACCAGCTTTCATTGCCTCTTTCTGTTTAAGAATACTTTCCTTGAATTCGTCCACTTTATCAGACCTTTTCGGTCCTCCTGTTGCGTTCAGGCCGGCTTTGCCTCGTAGAATGTTATCTTTCAATACGTCGGGTGCGACATAGTTTTTCGTTTCGGTCCTCCTTAGCTTTCCAAAAACATTCTTGAACTCCGGCTCATCTTTGTTGGAAGCTTCGTCTGCTATTTCGCGACGGCGCAAGTTCGCTCTGAAGTCATTTAAGGGAGGTGTGGAAGGCTTCAGTTTCGGTGAAATCCCTTCGGTTGACAGTTTCCCTAGGGGTCCTATCCCCTTTTGAGGGCCTCCAGGTGACGCTACCGCTGGACTATCGCTACTTTGTTTGGGAGAACCGATAGCCCCTGACTTCAGGCCATCAAGCTGCTGAGGGTTTTCAGGAGCCTGTGATTCACTCGCCGTTGAGTCAATGCGTAGTCTTCCATTGTCGGATTCTAGAGCGTTACGTGGCCTTGGGTGGCTAGATTTCGCTGTGTTTAGGGCATCCTGATTTTCAGATTCTCTGGAAGATTGGAATAAGGCACCTTTCGATTCTGTTGGAGGTTGGTTCTCATTTTGCGCTGAGAATTTTAGAGATCCCGGTCTTCCCAAATCGACACTAGCTTTGTTTTGCCTGAGTCTGTTACTTAACCCTTTCTTCCATTCAGGTTCCTCTTGAAACTGCGGTTTAGGCTTGGGAGAATCTGGTTTGTTTAGCGCACTCTCCAACCAAGTGGCTTTCGTGGGACTCCATCGCCGCGAATCCATTGTTTTTGATGGGCTGGCAGGCAAGTCCGACGGCTTGTCTCCCGCATTGCTAATCGAACCGGATCGCGACAATGGCTGGGAAGGAAGTGACGGTTTCACGAAAGCATCATTGGGTGATTTCGATCGTTCCAGATCCCCCCTCCCTTGCTGGCGAATAGTTGTTGCTTCGCTGTGGCTCGAGCCAGGGCGTGAACCTGGAAGATGAGGCACTTCATCGCTTGCTTCTCTAGGTAGAGTTGTGGGCGTCTGGGAGACTGGCTTGGAGGCTACACTGCCCCGCCCCTGTTGGTGGCTCCATCTCTTTGAAACGCTATCAGACCGCTTCATCATAGCACTTTGCACAAAACCACCCAATCCTTTCGTTGGAGAAGAGGGTCGATCCGCAGCAATCCGACCTTGAGACGGGGACATTGCCAGACGGTCTGTTGCGTGAGGATCATTTGCAGTGAAAGACGCACGCGACTCTACTCTCTGAGTGCTGGACAGCGGAACCGGGGACCCTAATCCACCAGTCGTAGAGACAGAAGAAATGCTGGAGTACCTGTTTCCCAGGCTGCTAGTGCCATATACAGAACTGCCCCTGGACGGAGACCCTGAACGGTCACTGGTATAATCGTTGTTTATTACCTTCTCAGAGTCTACCTTCGACTCTCTGCTAAAACCAGGCAACCTCGTGTTCCCGCTCATCATAGAAACATCCGACATAGAACTGTCTTGGGCGCGTCTATATGCAGGAGATCCAGTTCCGCGCTCAGCTGTCTGTCGAAACCAGGTAGGGTCCTTTGAAGCCAGCGACTGGGCAATGTGAGATCGAGACGGAGTTTGATCCGCGTCCGGTGTGGAAGTAGACCCCAAACGCGTTTCGACAGTAGATTTAGGCGAATGGAAGGATGGGAACGGCACCGTACCAGTATCGATATCTCGAGAGCCAGGCCGTTGCTGCCAAGTCAACCCTCGCGAGGAAGGCCGTGATGATGTTGATAGTCTGGCAAAGTTACGCGCCAGATCGTCTGTTTTGGCCGCATCAGAATCCCCCATTTCCCTCGCTGCGAGTGTAGTATCGGAAGTTTCTTTTTGTGGGGATGGGAGAAGTGTTAACGGGGGTTCAATTGACTGTGCGCGTATGGGAGAGGAGTGAGACACGCTTGCTGCCAAAGGGGAAGTATTGTAGGGGCCGGGGGAGTCTTTGGTTGGGGATATGGATCGGGCACGCTCTGCGTTGACATAGAAACATAAGCTGTTAGCCAGGAAATCATAAAATGTCGGGTTATTGATTGTCTTTTTTTGTCGGTGTCCCCTCAGCAGAGAGGGGAATTCCAATTCCCGAGTAAATAAATAAAGCCGCAAAACCGGGGCGCTGGCGGCAAGGGAAATAGGGATAATGCAAACTATACCAGCTCTTCTAGCCTGTCTTTCTTTCCGGCCTTGTATGATCTCTTCTTCTAGCTTTCTAGCGCGCTCTTCGTCTTCCTTGTCGCGCTTGTTGCCCAGCTCACGGATGCGGTCAAGAAAGTCGCTGACATCCTCAGAACCACCCGCCTCGGTCCCGCGCTCCATGGCTCACGCTGCCTACCTGCAAACCGACAAAGGGAGGGGGGAAACCAAGAACCGTCTTGCACCATATACGGACAGCGAGGCATCAGAAAATAACAGGATTCCGTCCCGAGGTCTTGATCCTGAGTCTTTTTGGGGAAATTTATGGTCGTGGGCCAAGGAAGATAGTCCGCCTCATTCTTGTTCGTCCATGCTGCTCGGTCAACTGTCTTACATAATGCGGCTAAATAGTTAGTTAACTAACTTAACTAACTAGTTCACTTTCCAATGGACCGAGAGGAGGGTTAAAACTGGTGGAACAAGAATAAATGGTGTTTACAGCTCCAAAGCTGGTTAATTATTATGTAGAAGAAATACTACTGGGACAAGCTGTTCGGATGATTAGAATATATATACACTTTCCCCCTCGCAAACCCATGGTCCTGCCTGAATCGTGCCGACCAAAAGACCAGCCAGGAACCAGATCACAGATAAGTTAACTACAAAATTCAAGAGGTCTGTAACGAGCTAGCAGCGCGTTGTCCATGTCGGACTTCAGGGATAGCAGCCAATTCTGGGCAACTGGTTTTGAAACGGCTCTCATGCGTTCGCTAGTTTGATTCTGGTGTGATTATAATTGTCAACTTGCTGAGCTTTGGAAACGTGATGGTTGTTCATTTAAAGTTCTCCTCCGTTCGCGCTTTTTTTAAGCTTCGGTAGGGAGGGGCTCTCGGAGAGAAGGATGTCATAAATATAGGAAACGGAAGAACGAAAACGGCGGGAGGGCTGAAAAATTTTGACGTGCGAAGTAAAGCGCTCTGCAACATGTTGCATCAATTTCTCCCCTCGATCTGAGCAGGTGAGGCTTTGAAGCCGAGCATCCAAGCGGGCGGCTCTAGAAGGCTGTACTGTGTAATATAATATAAGTGTCTCATCTCCCGAAAAAATGGTATCCAAAAAAAGATAAATGGATCAGTAAAGGAAAAGTCTGTCCTTCGCATCTTGCACTACCCATTCGAGCCCCTCGTTCAGGTTACTGCCTGTCATTGCACTGCATGGGAATATTGTCCACTTGTGAGTCTTGATCGCATCAAGCTGTAGCGCCTATCCTCCCGTAGAAACACATCTCAGCAAATTCATATTATCAATGTAAGTTAGACGACACAGGAAAGGATCCAGGTCACACATACCTCTCGAATATCATCTTTGCCCATGCCCCCTTCGACATCGATCTTGTTCAGAAAGACAAGCAAGCTAGCGCCCATAAGTCGCTTTTTGAATCTTTCGTCAGCTCCACCAATCAAATGTGTGTTCTGGATAAAAATTTTCGAACTTACCTCCTCTTGCAGAAGCCCAGCAAGTTCCTCTCTGCAGTCGTCGATTCGGAGGCGATCCGTGGCATCAACCACCCAGATCAAAGCGTCGGTTTTTTCGAAATAATTTCTCCAGTACGACCTCAATGTCTTTTGCCCTCCAACATCCCCTACATGGGAAAAAATATGCCAGTTTTAGAGTTTCCATTTTTTTTCATCTTGTTTTTTTTCCCTTTTGGCTTGCTCGTAAGTTCAGGATGAAAACTTACATATGTTTAACTTGTACCTATTTTCGATAGAACAGATGGCCAGTCAGTCCACTTGGAGTTTATTCAAGTAACCTGCTCAACATGACAAACCACTATACCTACCCTTGGAAATCAATAGATTTGATGATAAAGCCCAGCGTTGGGCTAACAGTGGTGATATCCTCATTCATAATCCTCTTGACAATGGTTGTTTTGCCTGCATTATCAAGCCCTCTTCTGTCAATCAGCGGCAAAGCTTCACAACCATGGCATAACCAAAGGGAAAATGGACTTACAGCATCAGGATTCTCATTTCCTTGTCCTTCAGCCTTGCCTTTCGCAATATAGAAAGCATATTGGCATGCTTTTTGCAGGTGTCTCTGTCTAGCGTTTGGATGTTGCAAGAGTCAAAGGGATTTTTCACGGAGGTAAATATTGTGAGATTTCTCTCATAGAATTAAATACTTAATTATTTCCCGCCCAAACCCAACCCCCAAACCAACCTGAACTCCAGAAACGTATATCTCTATCTCAACGTCTCATTTTCAAAATAGAGAGATATAATCCAGCCTAATATTTAGCTAGGTTTATTTATGTTCAATTGATGGCCTGTATCTTTGTTTGGATTTGTCTTAGCATATTTCGTATTTCGCCATCTCCAGGGTGATGCGTTTGCTCTCTATGTCCTGTAGTGACACAGTCTACTCTTTCACAGTTTCAACCAGGCACCACCAGCCATCGGAAATACTCATTCTTCCATTGAGTTGATATTCTCACTTCAAAGATATTCCCCAGTGTCTTTCTTTCTATTGATACACACAGCTACACGATCTTCCAACTTCTACATTGGATTCATCAAAACATCCATCATCCTCTATCACTTCTTTCGCCGCTCAGGTAAATCACTGCATGGCCACTCTCTTGCTTTACAACACTGCATCCGCTCTATCTAACTCAAAGAGTATCAATAGGGAGTGATTGTTAGCCATTTGAGGCTGATGACAGTTAGTGCAAGGCCCTCAGGGAGTAGAGGGTTTTGCCATCTGATTCCAGGGCCCTTGGGATAAAGCAACCTGCCCAAGTGGATATCGTACTCTTCCTCGAGTAACCTACATAAGCACCCAGACTTAGGAAGACGCGGCAACACATCAACAATGGAGGGACTCAGGATGTCAAATCACAAGGATCACCTATCATCCGCTGATGAATGGAGTGAAATGTTGACTTCATTCAAAACATTACAGGCCACTTCACAGTCAAGGTATCAGGCAATACGATTATCTCTCAATGAGGCTCCTCGGGCTTTGTCCTCCAAGAAGGACCACACTGGTTTGCAAACACCAACACATCAAGAAAGTTCCAATGTCGCCATTGCCAACCCTCCCGATATTAAGACCCAAAACACTCCGGAGGCCTCTGCTGGGCTGCAAACACCTACCTCAAAGAGATTAGATACATCTAGCCTAGCAAAGTCAAATATCGGAATTGCCAACTCTGTCATAGCAGTCATACCCTTAAAAGTTGCGGCTGAGCATGCCCAGGAAACTATTCCCAAGAAGGAAGACGTGACAAGCTCCGGGCATTTCTCCAGTCGACGCCAGTCACTTGTTCCGAAAATCCATCCTGCCTCTGACTCTGATATCATTACTGAAGTGAAGAGAGGTGAGGCGAATTCATAAAGAGTAGGGAAAGTGTTCGGCATACTAACAAACTATGCTCTAGCCATCGCTACTCCCAAGAAGCGGGATCAGGATATGGTAGTTCTATCCCCTTCTCCCACAGGTATTTGCCCCATCGCCGTTACATATCCTCAGTATGCTAGCATAACTCAAACGCAATTGGAAATTTACTAAAACAACGAAATGGTTTCAGACGGTTCCGATAAAGTCCTGCTTCCACAGTACAAAAAGAAATACACAGCAGGATCACCTCTGGCCCGAGGTACCCCAGCTACTCCATCAAATAGGCAACAGCCTGCACTACCTGTCCAAAATCTACACGAAATTTCCAATCAGAGGAGCTCGACCACGACCAACTGCCCTGACACCAGTCCCACGAATATAGCCAGCGGAACTGGCTTCCTTAGTGCTAGACGTGCTATACAGAAAATACCGACATCTCATGGACCCCCAAAACCTCCTCAGCTTGCGAACATGAGACGCAGGAAACCCAAAGTGATTTTGAATGCACCCAACGAGACTTCAATAGGTCCTCTAAAGAAAACTGAAATCGACGACAAACTGGAGCGCCTTCAGAGAGAAGGAAAACAGAAGATTGGTCAGCAGCTCCGTGGCATTGACCTCCACGCAGCTGAAGGGCCTTCGCCCCTTGACCGTGCGCGCCAGGGAGAGGGAAATGATCCAACATCACCTGTCGCTAAGGAAATTTCCCTTGCTCTTGCTAAGCGAGATATTGCAGCATTATCACCCTCTTTACATGATTCTCGGTCAGGTAAGAATTCATCCGGCGATACAGGGCTAGATAATGGTGATTCGTCCGATAAAGCTGCATATCGTACCCCTTTCTCTGAACGTAATTCAGATTATTCAGAGCAAAGGAATAACCATTACTCCATGTCGGGGGGTGATAATCTTTCTATGTCAGTAGTCGACTGGCATCACCGCCCTTGGGACAGTCACTCAGGTCCGAAATATACCCATAGGTTTAAAAATTGGTTGAAGACAGTTGGAGAATTGGATCGCGTCTGGGTTGATACAAACAGCCTAGAGTTCAACGATGCAAACTATCATTCCAGTGGTGGACGTGGCACGTTTCACTCACCGGTAAAGTCACCTATCACATACCTTGATCCGGCCGACCCACAAAGTGCTGCGCATGCGCACGAGACGGCTAGTGGCTATATTCATAATTGGAATTCTCAGCTGAAACGGGAACGACAAGAAGCTAAATGGAAGAAAAATCAGATGGCTATGCAAATGCAGCTCAGTCAGCAATGCCGCCAACCCCTTGCGATAGAAATGAATCCGCACACGCCAAAGTTAAATCTGTACTTGCGACCTATAGAAACGAAGGATATCCCAGGGTTACTTAAGCTGTTCAATTCGTACATTCAAAACACTGTCCGCTGCGTCGACCTAGAGCCACTCTCTTTGGAAAGTTTGGAGGAGCGCATTGCAGAATGCGAGCGAGAGAAATTCCCAGCCCTCGTTGCTGTTGAGCAGAAACCACGCCTAGGTCACGCCCTGAGTGGCGAGGAGGAAGAAATATTCGGTTGCATTCTTGCATGCGACTTCACAGGCCCAGCGACCATCCATCGCTACACTGCAGAGCTGGAACTATTCGTTGACCCCAAATACTGTCGCCTACGCGTTGGAAGTTGCCTCGTTGATAAATTACTGGAAATCTGCGATCCTGACTACTACCCCAACCAGGGATATCATTTTGACTGCGCTGCAGCACAGGCCGACGTGTACCGTGCAGGTAAAAATCGGCAAGTGGCCAGATTAATATTCATTTTACACCACGTTGCGGACAATGATGGCGATTACCAATGGACCAAGGAGTGGCTAGTGAGTAAATTCGGGTTTGAGGAACAGGCCCTATTGAAAGGCACTGGGCTTAAAGAGGGGAAATTGTGAGAGAGCCCATTTTCCACGAGAGTACTTAATATTTGACTTACATGGCTGGACATAAACGGTTCAGCTCCATACGGACACGCAGCATGCTAATCTTTCCCCTTTTTTTGCCTTTTCTTCGGGAATTTTCTAGGTTAAATTCGAGCTATCTGGTTCGCAGTATCAGGTTTATGCCCGAGGAGGCCTAGGTCGCGAATTGTAACCTTCACTACAAAGCAAATCACTACGCTCACGGCTAAAACGATTCGATGAAACTTCATTCTCGCGGTTTTCTTTTAACTATCGTCTACGCTCTTACAGTTCATGTCTCGTACTCCTATATGGCTCGTGGGTCCTGACCTCTGTTTGGATCCCATCGCGCTTGCCAGCCTACTGCGAAACATACTTGTGTGGTTTTATGTTACTTGAACATTTGCGATTTGGAAGTATATTTGTGTTATTACTCTATTCACATCTCTTTAACCCGTCCCTGTCCCTGTCCTGTTTCTTCACATTCCAAAAGAGTTCAGTTGAAGCAGCGGGGAGTTGGAAGGCGGAGAAGGAAAATGTAGCCCGCCTGCTCAGTATTACAAGGCTGGAACCAGGATAAAAACATGTGATTACTTAGGAAATAGAACTGAAAAATTAGCGTCTTGTTTCATCTTTTTTAAACTTCATGTTGAATCTTTCAAATGTCATTAGCGCTTAGCAATGTTTGCATTCAATCGTGTTAGCAACCCCCACATACTCCAAGGTTTCCTATCACTAAAACTTTATTCCGCCCTATGGGAGCCGAGTCCTGACTCCTAAGTACACGTCTTCTTCATGCCAAGAATACTCAGAAGAGAAGTGGGGCGGAGGAGGGGGAGTTGGGGGGCCTGGACGCCCGGTAGGGGTCGGGCTGGGGGCAAAGAACCGGAATCATAACTGGATATAACTAGAATGGTAAAAGAAAGAAAATGGGCATAGAAAAAGTATCTATGTTCTAATTTATTCTATTCTTAACGAGTGACTCAAATATGCAATCTATCTGTGTCCTATGCTATTCAATCCATCCATAAATTCTGAGAAAAAGAGAAAAGAAAAGAACAGCAAGCCTCCTTGATATCCTCTCTCCCGTACACTAGAGCCATCTAATCCCCTTCTATATTTAAGAGGTAGAACAGTCGCAGCTGCAGCTGAGAGGCAGGCTGCCTGTAGCTCCGATACCCGAGGCAACACCTGAGAGCTTGATCCCTGAGCCTGAAGCGAGAGCGGAAGGCGAGGGCGAAGGAGAGGGCGAAGGAGAGGGCGAAAGTGTAGAGGCGGCATCGGGGTCGACTTGCTGGGCCAGAGCAGGCACAGCTGGGGTAGATGAAGCAGATGAACTGGCAGAGGGAGTTTCACTCGAAGGTGAAGGGGCGCTGGGAGGCGCATCACCCCCACTCGAACCTTCACCGGGGTTTGGGAATTTAACTTCGTCGCCCTCGACAGTGGTCTTGCCGTTGCCGACGTTTGCAATGTAGATCTCTGGCAGTTTATCAAAGGCGGCTCTATCGCCGCTGCCGCCTTCGATGAGAACCGGGGCACAGTTCATGTACATTTCTCTGTTACCGATTTTGTTGAACCATGTCCATGCGAGGAGAGCTTCTCCACTTGGTGCGTTGGAGGGGATCTTGAAGCCATATTGCTTGTTCAGCGGGCAGCCACCAACGATCGACTCAATGACCCTGAAGGTATTGCCCTGGTCGTAGCTGAGGGAGATCTGGCAGGATCCGCCACCGTGAGTGGCGGTACCCTCGAGCTTGATATCTCCAGACCCGCCAGTCTTGTATATGGCAGAAGGCTTGCTGGCACTATCATGATGATATCCCTTGCAGGGGAAGTCAGAGCCTAGAAGTGAATATGTTAATTGTGCGAAAGGTGTAGGTAGACCTCTTTGAAGTAGAAGATGGGTTATGGAAGTTGGGCATGGCATGTGCAACTAACCATCTGCAAGAAGGGGGGAGGTCATGCTGTAATCAACATTCCCGCTGGAGCCATGGCGACTGCGGAAAGGGGCCGGATAGCTCATTTCAATATGAGCAAATGCAGATCCAGCTGCGACAACAAGAGTGAGAAGGCTAAGGGAATGCATATTTGCAAGAAGGAAGGTATAAAGTAAATGCGAGAAAAGTATGTGCCTAAGAAAGAAAGGATTGTATGTGCAGAAAAAAGAGAATGAAGAACCAGCTTCCAAGTCTCAAAGAATGAGAGAAAAGAATGTAATGGATGAATTGGTACAGAGAACGGTGATATGAAAAGGATTCAACATTCCAGGGGGATGAAGGTCCCTATTTATGTCTTTTCTGAATCCCCGATAGTCAGCTGAAATATCCACTGACAAAAAAAAAAGTGGAAAAAGAGAGAAGCGGAGAAAAAGTCAGAACGAAGGACACAGTAAAGGAATACAGGCTCCTTCCCACAAATCGTCTCCAAAAATCTCCCGGATGCAATTTTCTCACGACCATCTTGAATTCTAGAAGCCCATTACTCTGTTCCTGGTTTTTACCGATAGGTCGCTTTCCCCTGAACTTCCGTTTCGGGCCCGCTTCCTGATTGAATATCTAGGATAAGTATAGGTTTTAGCTCGTACCTACCAGCTTCTCGGGTCAGGGGAAAGTCCAGACACAGCAAAGCTTTGAACTAATACTTATTTGCCCGAATATCATGGAACGGTCAGCGATGAGGGATAAACTGCCGGAAGCGGGTCGCCCTCCGCTATGCGGGCGTAACGATGGGAACCCCGGGTATCGGGGTCCGTCGAGAAAACTAAATTTCGTCTGATGCTTGCGAAGGCCTTCATCAAGGGGTACTGGCCAATAGTTCTCCATTTCCTGTCACATTAACCTCTTCTGGCGGGGACAGAAGAGAAAATACGCTTTGTCTGATACTTTGCGAAGGGACCCCGCTAGGGGGAAGTTGGCCAGTGGGTCAATCTCCCCCGTCACATAAGACCGTCTGATGAGGCCATTTGAAAAAATAAGCTTCATATGGCGTTTCACCGAAGGAACTACATTAAAGGATATCATCAACCAATGGGCTTTTTGCCCTACCACATTAACACTAGGAGGCGCTGTTTCAACCTCCCTGCAATCGGGTTTATAGTGCCCGGATCTCTACCGTGGTCTAGGCCTGCGAAGCAGCCTTGTCGCCACAACGCCTAGCGAAAGCATGTCCTAACCTCACTTTTCGTCACCCTAACAGGGATTCAAAAGTGAGAAAGCCGTCTCCAGGCGCGGCGCCTCGTCGGGAATTGGTGCCGTGATAACGACGAGGTCGATAAGTTACGCCTTGTGGGCAGTTTATGTCCTGCTAAAATCGTTTAACTTGGTGATTATGTTCTTGTCCCTTGTTAGAAGGCAAGGGGGAAAATGAAGGGAATGGCACCCGGAAAAACACAGTATTCCATCCACCCTTCGGTTTCCTTCGCTCGAGGCAAGTTAAACGGGAGGCCGGAGGTGAAAACCAGACGGTAATGTAGTATGGAAGTGCGGAAACGTGGCTGGTCGTGCGAGTTCGGAACTGCTCAGCCAAATCCCGTCTTCAGAGTTTATAGCAAACTTGGTAGCAGCTAAAAGAAGGCCAACCCAAGAGAACTTGGTAAGAAGAATTAATACATTGCCCTGACTCCCTGTCATTTTGCTTGCCTTATTTACCATGGCGGAAAGTCGCTTGATGACATTAACGCAGGCTTGATTCAATATTAAAACGGCTATGGTCTTATTGCAAATATCCATGCCTGCGCACGTCATCCAGATTTTTCCCATTTGATTCCTACAAGCATAATAATAAGTGAGATACTCCTCAAGAAGAGAGGGGGATGTACTGTACCTCGCCCTGGGTTCCAGGATACCAGGCTCCTGATGAGTCAGACTTTACACATACGTTAGAGTCTGAAAATTTTTTGGGAAGAATTTTGGTCTTTTGCGGCCGGATTGGCCACTCTAGTTGTAGATAATTATGTCTTAGATCAATGCCCTGTTTTCGTCGTTGCAAGTCGTTTCACGATGTTGACGTTGGAAAGGGACCAGAAGTTTTGTCACGTGAATTGGACTGATATTCTGCTGCGCCACACCGCCTTGAACTGGGGAATTTTTCAGCAAGAAGCAAAACACTTTGAGTGATGGATCTTGCGCCGTTGCTACCTTCGTTCAAGCTCCTTTCCACTTATCAATTTTGTTCCCTTTTAGTTTTTTTGCTATTAATTCCCCCTTGAACTGCGGCAATTGAACGCCGACCTTTCAAAGCGGATTCAATGGCACCAATTCCTAGTAAAAAAAGTTCTGGTGATGATTTTATCTTAACTCTATCAGATGGCGAGAATTCGACCCTGCCCAATGGGGATGTCGACTTGGACGAAGCTGGAGATGATGAACTGGTTACCGCGAAACCATCGAAATCAAAATTGAAAGCTTTGGGCACCAAACGGAAAAGGGATGATGAAGTTGTGGCCAATGGAACTCAGAAAAAAAGGTCAAAAAAAGCCCAGAAAGAAGATAGGAAAATACAGCGACCGGGTCATGGTGCGGAGCTTAAGTCGAACTCCGACACTGAACAGGACGCAAACGAGAACGACGATGGGGCCCTGGACCCCGATTTTGAATTCGATGTTGGAGGTGCGGCACACGCCGATCTCGTGGAGGACTTCGATGGCTGGGGACTCGATGAGCGATATGGGATTAAAACTGATGGGAAGGGAAATAAAAAGGCAGTGGATATTGATGATTTAATTTCCCGCAGGCGACAGAAGATGAAGCAAAAGTTGGAAAAGCAGAAGACGAAGGAACGGAAGAAAGCCGAAGAAGAGTCTGGCGATGAGTTTACTGGGATTGATTCGCAGGATGAAGATGAACCAGCCAATGCTGTGGACTTCGAGGAGGATGAGCTTCTGGCTCCTGATGGATTTGGTATGGGAGCCGCAAGTGAATCAGAGGAGGAAGAAGGTGACCAATCCGCTTTGGTTGAGTCCTCCGACTCTGAAAACTCTGAGGGAGCAGCTGAACCGGATTCCGAGGAAGTGGATTCCGATCACGACTCTGTTGCTTCTCCAGTGCCACATCCTGACGATATTGCCTCAGACGATGACTCTGGCGACGAAAGTGAAGATGCTGCTGAAATCGAAAAGCAAAAGGCCTTCTTTGCCCCTGAAGAGAAAGCATTAACAAACGGCATCCTAGAGCCTGCAAAATCTTTCCAAGCATTTTCACTCTCGAGGCCAATCCTACGAGGTCTCACGTCTGTTGGTTTCACTACCCCTACTCCTATTCAACGGAAAACGATACCAGTTGCACTCCTAGGAAAAGACGTTGTCGGTGGTGCAGTCACGGGGTCCGGTAAAACGGGTGCATTTATCATCCCTATTTTGGAACGTTTACTCTACCGACCCAGAAAGGTCCCGACCAGTCGCGTTGCAATTCTGATGCCCACTCGAGAACTTGCTGTTCAATGTTACAATGTGGCTACAAAACTTGCAACATTCACGGATATCACCTTCTGTCAGTTAGTTGGAGGTTTCAGTCTTAGGGAGCAAGAGAACATCCTGAAAAAGAGACCCGACGTCATTATTGCTACCCCTGGCCGATTTATTGATCATATGAGGAACTCTGCAAGTTTCACAGTCGATACCTTGGAAATCCTTGTTCTCGACGAGGCAGATCGAATGCTGGAAGATGGATTCGCCGACGAGTTGAATGAAATTTTGACTACCATTCCCAAATCCCGACAGACAATGCTCTTCTCCGCTACCATGACAAATAATGTTGACAAACTCATCCGAGTCGGCCTTAACAGACCTGTACGGTTGATGGTGGATGCGAAGAAGCAAACTGTGGGCACCTTGGTACAGGAATTCGTCAGATTACGGCCGGGCAGAGAAGACAAACGGTTAGGCTATCTCATGGTTCTCTGTAAAACCATTTATAAGGACCGTGTTATTATATTTTTCCGGGCCAAAAAGGAAGCGCATCGTGTGCGCATAATTTTCGGGCTCATGGGCCTTAAAGCTGCGGAACTACATGGAAGCATGAGCCAGGAACAGGTATTTTCTTTTTGCTTCTTTTCTTTTTCTTCTTTTAATCTCCTGCTGCCAATTTGCAATATTCCATGGAAACAGAATCTGACTAGTCAATAGCGTATCAAAAGCGTTGAAAGTTTCCGTGATGGCAAGGTTTCCTTCCTTCTCGCCACAGATGTCGCCTCCAGAGGTCTTGATATCAAAGGTGTAGAGACTGTTATTAACTACGAAGCACCACAATCACACGAAATTTACCTTCACCGTGTGGGACGTACGGCGCGTGCAGGACGTTCTGGGCGTGCATGTACTCTTGCTGCAGAGCCAGACCGAAAAGTTGTCAAAGCTGCCGTGAAAACTGGTCGAGCACAGGGAGCTAAGATCGTGAGCCGACCTATTGACTCAGCAGAAGCGGACAAGTGGGCCGCTAAGGTAGAGGAGATGCAGGAAGAGGTCAAAGAGATTCTGAAGGAGGAGAAGGAGGAGAAACAGCTAGCTCAGGCTGAAATGGAAGTCACCCGCGGCAGCAATCTGATCAACCACGAGAAGGAGATCATGTCCAGGCCCAAACGTACTTGGTTTGAAACCGAGAAGGAAAAACTGCAAGCTAAGCAGCGCTCTCTTGAAGAGTTGAATGGGCCGAGTAAGAAGAAGAAAGGCAAGCTTAGCGGAAAGGATAAAAAGAAACTTGACGACACCCGCGAAAGGAAAGAAGGGAAAGTGTGGAAGAAAGGCAAAGCTGAGCGTGAGGCCCCGGCTAAGGGTCCAGCGAAGCTTAAAGATGGACAAAAGGGCAAGAGTAAGGCCAAACCAAAGGCTAGAGGGAAACCCCCCAGGCGATGAGCTGTAAACCAATGAGCCGTTTTGATCACGGGCAACATCAATGTTAGCTACTTGCATTAGCTTTGTACTGTACATGTACATTACATGTACACTTGTTGATTTTCAAATATCGTCTTACATCATACAATACTATTTCGCTTTACTACGGCTTAATCTCCTGGTTGATTTCCATTCTTTCTGACATTGCCCTATATAACATCAATAATTGACATATTGGCCTCTGCTGGCTGCCCTGTCCAGGGCGAAGTGACTTCCTGAAAGCATCAATTAGGGCAGAAGCGGTCACGTGGCAGGATTCCGTGCTGACTCATCCGCATCTCCCCGCAATCCGATTTCGGCTGCAGAAAATTTGCGGTGAACGCCACTGACTCATTGCGGCGAAGGGAATATAATAACAATCTCTGAGTCTTCATTTTCTACTTAAAAGACCATTCTTTCTAATAGTTGCCCGTTGATTGCTTGGGTTTCGTTGGTATAAGTCCCTTGTTAGGCGTTATTATTATATCCCTCTTCTATCCACACCCGCAGCTTAATCAGTAACACCCCTCACCACCCCTCCTCCCCCGCCCAGCTTAACCAGGAACAACGCAGTTTAATCATTCACGATGCCAATGTAGGGTTATACCCCCCTCCTATTATAGCGCATGCTGAACTTGAAAGCTAACACTGCCCAATTAGGCTTAAGGACCCCTCGAAAAAATATAGGCGCTTCAAGCCCTTGGATCTTCCCAATCGGCAATGGCCTTCAAAGACGCTGGACAAGCCCCCCCGGTGGTTGGCTACTGACCTCAGAGATGGCAACCAGAGCTTGGTCGACCCCATGGTTCGTATGAAATTGAGATGCTCCTCGACTCAAGAGCTTATTCTTTTCTTTTCGTCCATCAAATAACTAGACTAACCAGTGTATTGGACGGCTTTCAGGATGGGGACCAAAAGCTTCGGTATTTCAGAATGCTTGTAGAGATTGGATACAAGGAAATTGAGATCTCATTTCCATCAGCTTCGCAAACAGATTATGATTTCACTCGACGTCTTATCGAGAACCCCGATGAGGTACCAGACGATGTTTGGCTACAAGTTCTTTGCCCTTGCCGGGAAGACTTCATTCGACGGACAGTTGATTCCCTCAAAGGGGCCAAAAAGGCCATCCTTCATCTCTACCTTGCAACAAGCGAATGCTTCCGCAGAATAGTATTCGGCATGTCGAAACAAGAGAGCTTGGAGATGGCTGTACGATGCACGAAGTACGCTCGTTCGATCACAAAGGACGACCCTTCAACTGCAGGAACCGAGTGGCTTTTCGAGTTTTCACCTGAAACCTTTTCAGATACGGATCCTGATTTCGTCCTCGAAGTTTGTGAGGCAGTGAAAGCCGCTTGGGAGCCAACAGAAGAAGCGCCACTCATCTTTAACCTTCCTGCTACCGTCGAAATGTCCACCCCCAACGTTTATGCGGATCAAATTGAGTACTTCTCGACACGCATCTCCGAGAGAGAGAAAGTCTGCGTATCTCTACATCCGCATAATGACCGCGGATGCGCAATTGCAGCAGCAGAGTTGGCACAGATGGCTGGTGCTCAGCGGGTTGAAGGCACCTTGTTCGGAAATGGAGAACGAACCGGAAACGTCGATTTAGTCACTCTGGCCCTCAACCTCTATACACAGGGAATCTCCCCAGGGGTGGATTTCTCAGATATCAACTCCATTATAAAGGTAGTGGAGGAAAGCAACAAAATCCCAGTGAATGAAAGATGGCCTTATGGTGGACAATTGGTCGTTTGCGCCTTCAGCGGCAGTCATCAAGATGCTATCAAGAAGGGCTTCCAGCTTCGTGAAAAGACCAACGCAACGGGCGAGGATAGGTGGCAAATACCCTACCTCCCCATTGACCCAGAAGATATCGGTCGCAACTACGAAGCCATCATCCGTGTCAACTCACAGAGTGGCAAAGGTGGCGTTGCCTGGGTTATCCTCCGCAGTCTTGAACTGGATCTTCCCCGCGGGCTACAAGTTGCATTCAGCAAAGTCATTCAGAAGCAAGCCGACAAGCTTGGCCGTGAGCTCCTGCCCAAAGAAATCGTCTCCCTTTTTGAAGAGGCCTACCATCTCAAGCAAAACGCCCGTTTCTCCCTGGTAGACTACAACATCACCACCGACCGTTCACAGTCCCCCGCACCTCCAGAGCCCGGTAAAGCACTCAACACCAAGAACCTCAAGCGACGCTTTGCTGGCATTATTGAAATCGACGGTATGCAACACGCCATCGTCGGCGTCGGCACCGGTGCCATTTCTTCCCTCGCGAACGCCCTAAAATCCCTAGGCATTGACCTCGACGTTGTCGACTACAAGGAACACGCTATCGGGGCCCATAAAAACACCAAAGCCGCAACATACATCGAGTGCACGTCCTCATGTAGTCCAGACAAGGTCTGGGGTGTTGGTATCCACCAGGACGTTGTCCAGGCGAGTTTGACTGCGCTTCTGAGCGCTGCTAGCTCCGTAAGCCCACTACCCCAATTTCGTTAACATTCTTAATCCCCATTCCCGCCGATCCAGTCAACCCCAACTAACAACGTAATTGCTTTTGTTTTTCTTGCTGATACAGTTCCTCACGTCTCGGGCATCTACCCCCGCGCCATTCCGCCCCGCCAATGTAAAACCACTTACAGAAGCAGATCTTGAAGCTCTGGAGCAGATGCAAGGCCATACCGGACCAGCCCGAGCTTTGGTACCCGACAACGCTAATGTTGGCGTAGCACTTGCGCAGCAAAAGGTGGATATCGAGAAACTGGAAGCCCAGGCGAATAACCTGGGTTCTGTAAAGCAAGGATAACCATCTTCTTCTTCTTTTATTTTTTTCTTTAAGAAGAAGAAGAGAAACTTATTTATACGCAAGAAAGGCAGGTAATTCATATTCCCAATTGCAATAAGATAGAGAGAAGGGCCTTCAAGCATCATGATAATAAGTAGGGTAGGGCGAAAATTTTGTTCGTCATATTGGGAATCACACTCATAAAAATTTTTATATCCTGTTCGGTCAAATCGTCTACGGATATATTTTTTTTTTTCTTGATTTTTTCTGGTTACGTCTAAAAAGCAAGCTTTGGAAATTGCTTCATTCACGGAGATAAAAGCATGCAATGCGATATGGATAAGAATAGGCCCCAACGGGATTTAAGGGTCGACGAATTTTTACGATTTAATTTTTTAATAATTCATTCTTTTCTCCCTTTTTTTTTTTGAACTTTGACTCATAATCTGTACTTCAAAAACATTTTGATACTTCTAGAAATTTATACCCGCACCACAGCGATCTACCTCTCCTATCGTTATGCCCAGCCTGCTAGTGATCGCATGACCATATCCAGCGGCTAGACGCGGAGGATCTATAAGAAAGAAAAAAAGCTTTGTATTGCAATCCCATGCGCGGATTAGATTTCTCCGGCCGGTAGTCATAGTAAAACTTGCAAGATCCTATAGTCATTAGATAAATAGGGAATCATAGATGAAGAAGACCCCTCGATCCTACACCAATTAAAATAAAAATAAAAATCATAGTCTAATAGCAAAAAAAGAGGCCAACAAGCATGAAAATGCCAAACTACCTCAGAACGATGCGCATGGGATGTATGTACAGCACAGCAATTCATCATATAGAGATAGTTGGGGTCAAGGAACTTTAACGCAGGGATATATTGGGGAGTATATTTAAAAAACACAAACAAAAACAACGGGGTCATATACATGGGGAAAACTCAAATTAATACTTCTTCCCTCCAAAAAGGCAACGCGTTTCACGCCCGAACAACATTTTAAAATGATAAATAGCGGCATACATAGCCTGTAAAAACAACCAAAGAAGCAAAATGTGGCCAAAAGCGTTTCATTATTACCCTTTCCATAATCGATGTTGAAGAGAAACTGTGATATGCACAAGACTTAATTATCGCCTCTCCTGATTCTGGCTCTGATTCTGATACAATATCGCCTCCTCTGGCCAATCATTTCCCAAGTAGTCCTGCCGCCGATATTGGTCGGTGTCACATTGATTTTGGCCTTGCCGCTGTCCATGGCCCTGGTTTTGAGGAAGGTCATAACCATGCGTAGAACCTGCCATTTGCGGTTGATGGTGGAGATAGCTATATCTCGCCTGCTGGCTGGGAAGTGAATCTCTGCTATCGGGATGCGGGTTGGGATTGCTATGGTTATTTTCGGGGGGGATGATGTCCAAGGACGGGATGGGGCCTTGAGGATGCTGCTGCGAGTGCTGGTGGTGGTTTTGACCTGCGCTTTGACCTGGAGTGCCACTTGATAAGTAGGCGTCGATATCAAAATGGTCGTAACTTGTGCGTGGATCATCGTCCCCATTATTATCATTCTGGTAATGGACATCTCCTGCGGCTAATGGACCAGCAACAGGAAGGCTGGTGTACTTATTATTATTATTATTATTATCCTGGTCGTCGGGCTCTTCCGGGTTCACAATGGCCAGACGAGTGGGCCTTTCAGCAGGTTCATCATCATCGTACTCATAATCATCAAAGAAGTCTTTCGATTTATCGTCGAAAGGGAAGTCGTAGTTCAAGGGGTTGTAGGAGTTGCGGGCAGTGTTCAGGTTATCATCATTTTCGCGTAACGAGGCTGCGCGGGGCTCAGGACTAGCTGCGGTTGCGGGCAGAGTGAAGGATTCAGCAGGCTCTGCTGGGACTGGACGTTCAACAGCGGAGGCGGACTCTACTTGGCGTGGCGGAGCAGTGACTTCAGGTTCTTGATGCGGGGTTGGATGTCGACTTCCGGTTTCGGCGGTGCTGGGAACTCTAGGGGCTGTCCGGGTACGTTCAGGCAGGTCTATGAGGTGGCTGTCGAACCCTTCACCGTCGCGAATATTGAACTGCGCAATGGTTTGCATCTTTCGAGTCACCCAAGAAGCTAGAATCTTGCCTCTTTGCTTCTCACCCAGGCGGGATCGAGGGAAATCACCCCGTGGCACAAATGCAATAATATCTGCCACAACCTGATGCTCATTAAGAATTGCATTCAGGATCACGGGGACTAAAGAAGCTAAGTATGCTTTTCGGGTAACTTCAATGAGAGCTACCACGAGATTGCCAGCTTGGAATACGGCGCTTTGGGGCAGTTAGCAGACGAAAACCTAATAAATA